CATTTTCGACAGTTTCGATACGTCAACCGTGGGAAACATTGGGACTGCGAGGGGCAAGCTCCGACCCCATTTTCGACAGTTTCGATACGTCAACCGTGGGAAACATTGGGACTGCGAGGGGCAAGCTCCGACCCCATTTTCGACAGTTTCGATACGTCAACCGTGGGAAACATTGGGACTGCGAGGGGCAAGCTCCGACCCCATTTTCGACAGTTTCGATACGTCAACCGTGGGAAACATTGGGACTGCGAGGGGCAAGCTCCGACCCCATTTTCGACAGTTTCGATACGTCAACCGTGGGAAACATTGGGACTGCGAGGGGCAAGCTCCGACCCCATTTTCGACAGTTTCGATACGTCAACCGTGGGAAACATTGGGACTGCGAGGGGCAAGCTCCGACCCCATTTTCGACAGTTTCGATACGTCAACCGTGGGAAACATTGGGACTGCGAGGGGCAAGCTCCGACCCCATTTTCGACAGTTTCGATACGTCAACCGTGGGAAACATTGGGACTGCGAGGGGCAAGCTCCAACTGCATTTTCGGCCGATTCGCAACTGTCACATGTGCCCTCAATCCGTGATGCGGGATGAACCAAGGATGCTTTTTCGCAGCTAGATGACGCTCCAAAATGTGTCAAGCACATCTACAGTAGATCTTGCAGAACTCCTATGCCGCCAAGGTATTTCTGCTGTACTGTAGCCGCCATTAGAGCAAGAGCAAGACTGTCCAGAGCACGCTACACCACTACAGTTCTCTAGTGAGAGTATTCGGGTGAGTGTTTCAGTTCCAGTATCGGTGCGAGTTTTGGTGGCAGTTTCAGTGACAACTTCAGTAGTGAGCGGGTGAGAGCTTTTCAAGCCCATCTTTGGTGAGAGCTCTGATCATGTGGCCGTCAGCCCTGGCCCCGCCCCGACACGGAGGCGTACAACGCCCCTCACCGCAGCGCGCCGCAGACCCTCGCCTTGCGCGTCTTGCGCGCCTTGCGCGCCTTGGCCGCTTCTTGAGGCCAGGCAGTGAGCAGACGAGCGTCCCCAGCGCCACTGATTCCTCAGGTCGCACGTCTGATCTTGGGTCTCGGCCATGTTCTCAGTGTCCATCGCCCGGTCTCGCGGCTCTGGCTCTCATCACGCCCTCTCCCCCTTCATCTGTTCACTGGCGAAGTAGGGATTCGTGGGTGTGGCGCGGTGGGGATGTGGGCCTGGCGACTGGGACAGAGCGGGGCAGAGCGGAGCAGCGAGTACCCGAGCCTCCAAGCCAATAGACGCCGAGACGTCCGACGTCCGACGCCGAGCATCCGAGCACCCGAGCAATTTCGCAGATCGACACCGGTCCACGAGCAGAGGCCGATTTCTCGGCCCGGTCGATCGCCGATCGTCCACTCCCTGGAGTCTCTGCTCCATTGCGAGACAGTCGAGACGGTCGAGATAGTCGAGAGCAGAGACTGACGCGGGGCCAGGCTACAGACTGGGGGTTTAGTCAGGGGATCGAAGCGGAGCGAGCGGGGCCGGATGCACTGACATGAAGGTGGGGCGGCGCGCACGGGATAGAGAGTTTACGCCGAGGACGGAGGCTCGGTCGAGAGTTCAGGCCGGCGCTACGCGGTAGTCCAGCGGTAGTCCGCCGACACACTGGGCTGATCGCTGTTGACAGTCAAGAGACACAGTCAAGAGACAGACTGGACCTTGCTGGCGCGGCGGGGTCTGCGTCCTCGCCGCATCAGCCCCATGGATCATACTGGCCAAGCCGAGTGTCGCTCGCGACTGACTTGGTGACGTGACTGTTAGTGTGAGAGTGTTAGTGTGACGTTACGTTGAAGGAGGCGTGTCGATCATTCAACAAGCCAATCGTCTCCCCCACCCGAACCGCTTCCCGATGGATGGTGGTCCGACACTGCTGACCGAAACCCGACAGTGCCGATGAGCCTGGTTGGGTTGGTGTCGGGTTTGAATGGAAGACAGGCGCGAAGCGCGTGATGCGGATGAAGACCGAGGTCGGCAACACGGCTGCACGGCTGGTGCGGCACGGTTAGAGGGTCAGGCGGAAGAAAGTCATTCGCCGGGCCCCCACTCTTCTTCCGCTTCTGTCGTTCCTTGCCGAGACTCGCACTGGGGCTCGCTGGTCAACGATGGCCAGAGCACACGCCACGAACTGCATTCGCCGTGATTCCATTGAGTCTCCAGTCTCTGGTCTCGACCCCCCCAGCTCTTGCGGGCAGAATACAAATGCGATCTGTTCATCGTCATCATGAATGTCTGAATGACAAGTGTCGATCATCTCGTCCAGACCCTGCTGATGTTCGTCGTCCGACATATCGGCCATGTTTGTCTGCCTGATCCACACTGGAACGTCGATTACCTCAATGACGACAATTCTCTCGGCCTGCTCATCAGCCTCGATCACCCAGGCACGAGCGTGAATGCGGAGCACACGAGAGACCGTTCCGCATCTCACGCACCTCAGAGGATATGCAGCGAGTATGTCCCGAAGACGTAGCGACGCAGCCCTTCCCATGGTTCACGGATTCACGCCCAAGGGCAGTTGATACAGTTGATATCTCCAAGCGAACCTCGACCTCGGCACAGCCGTACTTTCCCCTCTTACTCTACCTGTTGTATCGGAACTGATACCGAAACGGACACAGGGGCGCGGACACAGCACACGGACACTTGAGCATTTTAGGCGACGCCCACATCCCACCTCCCACAGCTCCCCTTCCGGTCCTCCCATTCGCCACGCCTGAATGGCCAGGCTGGCCGTTGATCCCGCCCTCTTCGACCGATGTCGGACGCGATGCCGCCTGTGCCGTGTGCCGCTTTCTGCCGGTTGTGCCGGAGTGTTGATCACTTGATTAACAGTTCAATTAACGACGTATCAACGGGCCATTTGGGCCAATCAACACCTCTGTTATTCGTAGGGTGGGTGGGAACCTGTTGCCTACGCTGGCTCTGCCTGGATCGTGCCTCATGCGATTGTGGCTCATGGCCCATGACTCGCCCGCTGTGCCCACTCGCTCGCTGCGCTCGCTCGCTCGCTCATTGACCCATGAGTTATGCATATGCTTCGTGATACCAAGAAAACCAAAGAAAAGACTTATGCACCAAATATCGGCGGCGACTCGCCCGGCAACGGGCTCATACCGCCCAGCACGATCGTGCCCGGCGGCAGATCCTGGATGTCGCGCGCCGCTTCGGGCGTCGCGACCATGATGAACCCCTCGCCGTCGCCCTCGCGCAGCATCATGACGCCCGACACGGTCGACTCGGCGAGCGAGTTGAGCACGCCTGGCGTCGGGTTCAGGCCGCGCACGCCGTGGGCGCCGAATTGGTCGCGCGAGAGTTCCGTGATACCCAGCAACATCTCGATCGTGCTCATGTCCTGGGTTGTCAGTTGAGGTCAAGGCAGAATCGAACTCACCCGCTTGAGGAACGGCAGGTGCGTGCCGGGGCCGTGCACTAGACGGTCGTAGCAGCGCCGCGCCTTGTCGAGGTAGATGCTGCCCTCCCACTCGCCGCGGCGAGCCCAGGTGTGGTACAGCACCAGACAGGACAGGTTCAGCGTGTACACGCCAAAGAAGAAGAGGAGCTCGGATGCCTCTTCGAGATTGACGACAAAATCGACCGAGTACCGGCTCAGCTTCATGAGGTCGACCCATTCGTCGGTCGAGATGCTGACGAACTGCTTGAACTTTTTCGGCAGGTGGAACGACCACGGCATCAGCGGCCGGAAGAAGAGGAAGCGCACACCCGTGTAGAACACGAGCAGCAGTCCAGACTCTTGCACCCGCCGTTGTGTTCGTACCGTCTGGAACTTGGCCGAGTTGTAGTCAAACTTGAGCGATATCGGCAGCGAGTCCCGCCACACCGCCAGGTCGTGCTGTAGCCTGCGCATCGCCGGGGCATCCGTCTCCGTGACGCCGTCCGGTCCATAGATCAGCGTGAGCACCCTCGCAAGCAGCTTGGACAGCGAGTACAGCCGCTCGAAGAACGTGTTGCCGTACACGTGTCCCACCGACGCCTTGGTCAGCACAGACACAGACAGCGGCGTCGATGACATCGAAGGGCTGATGGTCGGAGAGTTTATCGAGGACGACATGGTCGAAGAGGCCCCAGAGTTGGAATCAGAACTCGAGGGGAAGGAGTGAAGCATTGAGACACCGTCCTTGGCTGCTCGCCAGGTGTCGATGACCTGCAGGCACTTCCATACTCGCACTTCGCGTTCCAACCGCGATCGTGCGAGTCCGAGATCCAAGGCGAGGCGGTACGCGGCAGACAGCCGGTCACGCTGCACCGATACTGGCGATACTCGTGGTCGATCGGCGAGCTCGTCGACGAGACACAGCACCAGCAGCGTCTGCACATTTTCCAATGTCGGGACGAAGTGGACGTCTGATAGTCAGTGCCGCATTCCACAGCCCACCCGGTGAGAGACCGAAAATTAAGGTACGATCGACCTTGGCTCCCACCGGTAATTACACTCACCGTTCTGCTCGAGCTCATATGGGAGAGATGCCCTCATTGCTTCAAAGAGGGCAGGTGAGACGACGCCACGGGTGGCAGCCACAGCAGCCATCGCATGCCTCAAGACAGGACCGGCCTGCTCGGCCTCCGACGCTGTCACGATGGGAAGCAGCTCACCGATGTGATCGATGTAGTCGGCGACAAGACCGTCGACGGCTTCGCTCCAGCTGCTCGCTCCTTTTGGTGGCGGGTGCGACTGAGCATCGACCTCGGACGTCACACTGATGTAGCCATCGAGGCCCTCTGTCCGGACCATGCGGAAACCCTTGTCCATGCAGTACTCGGAGAGTGTCCGGCTCAGCGGGAGGGTCGGCATCGAATGGATAATGTAGGGGATCGAGGAAGGTCCTGTGGGTTGTCAGGTACGGAGCAACGATACCTCAATGTGGGCACTCACCTGACCGGTGCACTGCGAATGTTCGTTCTCTCGACTTGAGCGGGGTCTCGACGCTGGTGACGGAGCTTTGCCGCGACATGCCCAGAGAAGACCCTCGCGAGGTCTCCGAGTCCGAAACAGTGAAGGCCGGTGGCCGCCGTGGAGGCTTGTTCAGCAGCCCGCCTAGCGGAGGGAGGTCCCACGAGCAGAGCTCATCGGTCGCGATGCACTCGATGCAGTGTTGGGCTTGCGGATCGATCTCGCATCTGTCACGGTCAGCAGCTCATCACAAGTGCCGACGGTGAGCTCATTACCTTAGTTTCTGAGAAGTGTCAACTGTGCCAGCGATAAGGGTGACTCACCTGTACACGACACCGGTCGCATGCCTGTGCTGGGGAGGAAGGGTTGAACCGCGGCGGGTCCCGTGCAGGCGACATGAGGTGAAGGCAGCGACAGTGACGCCGTCGGCGGCGTGCACGGCGCAGTCGTTGTGAGGGTGAGCCGGGAGGCGGAGTTCGACGACGACGAGCGTTATTAGTTGAGCGGTGGTCGTGGGAGGTTGAGTCTGGGAAGAAGGTGTTGGGAAGGAGACAAGGGTGGGGGCTTGTGATCACCGGTTAACAGGCATGTCGTGGGCTGCGTCTAATCTGCGATAAAGATTGGGGGTTGTGGGGAAGGTTGAAGCGGGGGGGCGTAGATAGGCCCGGAGGGGATTTAAGAGGGGAAGGTGTAGATGGGCGAGAGAGATATGCGATGGGAAGGAGGCGTTGAGCTCGGTCGTTGGCCACGAGTGCTGCTAAGAGTGTGTGCGGCTAGGGACGGCGGACCGGAGTAGGTTCGGGAGGTTGGCCGTGCTGTCGGTGTGTCGATGGTGGTGAGTGGTCGATGCGAGCTCGGGTCAGCGGACAGGAAGTCAGGTCCGGCGAGGAGAGAGAGAGCTTGAGAGTTGGGTGTAGGTGCGGCAGGATCAGAGCAGCAGAGGCACGGGTGTGTGATCGAGGGTTGACGGTGTTGCCGGCGGCGGGGCGGACGTGAGTGTGCCAGTGGTAGGGAGGTGGGGAAGGGCTAAGGCCGAGAGTCGAGGTCAAGTTGACACCGGGCAATCACCAGGATGGTACCCTTGCTCACCCTGGCCCTACCCCGCATTCACGGCCTCGTCCACCAACGAGCAACCGTAGACGGTGTGAATCGACACGGCCAGTCAGGTCTCCCACGGTCCACTCCCCTCGCTAAACCGTGCCAATCTGAAATCTCTATTATAGATGCCGATCCTTCCCCCCCACTCTTCCTCTGTCCCTGGCCTACGCTGCCAGGCCCACACGCCCACACGCGACCGAGCATGACCGCACGTGACCATGCCATCCAGCTTTTGCCGAACCCGACAGGCCCGACAACTGCCGCTCAACACTGCGCCTTGGCTCTCATGCCTTGGCTCAAGGCTCAATGAGCCGACTTAGCCACGTCACGTGCAAGCCTTCATGCCGATGCCGGAGCGTCCCATCAGCGTCCAAGCCGGTTGAGCACAACCGCTCGACATCCGTTTCGGCACAACGCTCTATTCTTCCAGGACAAGCGGCTGTCGCGCAATCGCGCAATCAAGCAACGCATCCCATCGTGCCGTGCTATATACAGACACTGCCATGCGCTAGTCATGCGCCATCCTCGGGTCCGACACGATGCCGTGCTGCTGCGGTGCCGCGCTGATAACATTGCGCGGCAAGACGAGTGTGTAGAATGTGTCGAGGGTTGCGCGGCATCGGCACTCACGTCTACCTCGGCATCTAGCACGCGCATCACTCACGGCAGGAATACTCACGAAGCGTCCTCGGCATCATGCCGATACTAATGTGTATATCAAGACACAGCGAAGCATGTCACAGGCACTATCACTCACAACTTCCTACACTCACACACACACTCAAAGCGAAGCAATCACAACAACGCTCTCGTCTGCAGAAGTCGATCGCACACACTCCCACCGACCAGACCCTCTTTGACAAGTCATCCGTCACAATTCCACCGAAGCTAGGAGCAACAATGGCCTATCCCTACCACCACCACGTGCACTACCGTCCCCGCCGCTGTGGCGGTTTCCTCCGCGGTGTGCTCCTAGTCGGACTGGGATTCTGGATCGCCCGGGCCACAGAGCGAAGGCACCACTTGGAAGGTCCGCGGGGCCCCTGGGCTGCTCCGCCTCCCAACTCCCAGTCTTCGAACTCTTCAAGCTCCACTAGCAGTGCCCCCTCTGAGGGTTCTGAAGGCGGGGTTTGGGGAAGGGGAGGCTGGTGTCGTCGTCGTCGCGAGGAAGCCATACCTGGAGGACCGGTAGCCTACGGCCCCGCCGAGGTGCGCGGGGAGGATGTGCCCGCCGTCCTGGCTGCGCTGGCAGCGTTCCAGAGGGCTCATCCCGACCCTTCTGCCCCCTCCGGCATGCCCGTCACGCCCGCCACGCCCATCGCTCCCACCGCTCCCCCCGGCGAGAGGGACGAGAGGGAGAAGGAGAGCGCGCCACCCGTCACAGAAGCCAGCACAGCCAGCACAGACGTCGCGCAGAGCAAGACCTTAACGGATCAACGCAAGATGGAAGAGGACCTGGCCCGGATCGACCGTATGTCTGCGGCATTGCAGAGATTGCGTGAGGCGATTGAGAAGGATGGCCACGGCCCACGCTTGGTCTAATGTTCCAAATCTCCAATCGCTCACTGTCGGCAGGTGATGGTCGATGACATTGGCGGAGACGGGAGTGAGGGTATAAGGGTGGAGGCGGTTTTGAGACGGAGTAGAGACGGAGTGGAGACGGAGTGGAGACGGAGTGGAGACAGAGAGATGCTGTTGACCTCTTGCACACGACCTCTTCCCCGCTTCCCCGCTCCCCCGCTACCTGTCGCGCTCACTGGCATCCCCCGCTATACCAGAATCACCCCTTCGATACAAGGTTCAGAGACAGTAGACGTGATAGACGATGCAAGATCCACACGACTTCGCGGAGAGCGCTCTGATCTCGAGGGTGCGAATGTCCATCTCTGTGTCCGCCAGATGAGCTCGATTCTCCAGTCTTCTCCGACCGCCCACGCCATATGGTACCGGGGCTGGAGGAGGAGAGGCAGGGGGGTTGTGGGACGGGTAGCCGGATGAGAACGGCGAGGACGACGAGGACGACGAGGACGACCAGAGCGGTGATGGGTGTGATGGGGATGAGGACAGGAGACGCAGCAACCAGCACGATGGGCGAGGGCATCCCCACAGACCATCCGCCATGCGCTCTCGAGTCTGACGAGTCTGCTTAGTCCGAATACACATTTGCTTCGCTTCGTTCTCAGACTCGCCCCCGTCGGACGTCGCCCCCGTCGGACGTTGCCCCCGTCGGACGTTGCCCCCTCGTGCTTGGCCATTGGGCTGAGGTCTGCCAGAGGTTCCAACCATGACTGAAGAGGGACTGGTACAGTCACCATTGAGCGTCGGTAACGGGCATCGGGAAGAGGGTGTCGTGTCCTTTCTGACTGTGTCACGGTCCAGCCCATGGTCACATGTCAGGTCCGGGCACCGAGAGAAGAGGCAGGTAGAAACGCAAAAGATGACGACGTCGGTAGGAGAAGGCTCAAAGGAGGGAGGTGAGGACAGGAGGCGCCGAGGAAACGGAGTTGACTAACGGGGGCGAGTGCGCAGGAGAGTCAGTGGGCACAGGTCCGGCCGGCAATGCCTAGCTTGGCGATCGAACGACCATCGCTCCCGCTGCGTTCACCCAACCTTGGCCCTTATCGAAGAGAGAAGGCTGGAAACATGACAGTGAGGAGGGCGTCCAGCTTGTCTGGTGGGCCCGGGAAGTCCAAGTTCAGCCGGCTTAAGGAAAGGACGTACGTTGTGCCGCGTGGCCCGACACACAGTCTCCTCGTCGCCGTATCTGTTTCTTCAACGTTCGAACACCGCGATCGAGTTTTGACCCCCGGCGCAAGTCTGGAGGTACCGGCTCGAGGATCAATCGATCCCTCCAGACGTTCTCTGTCCTGCTCACCGCCATTCGAAGCTCCTCGTCCGCCTCTGCGCTTGCACACCCAGGATGGAGAGAGGAAGCAGAGGTCTCCGGATACGATAGCCGACGGAGATCAAGGTGAAAGATCGGCCACCGACCAGCTGCCCTCATCCAGTAGGCAGAGGGACGTCCAGCGCACGACGGTGTCGACAGTCAGTGTCGGGGTCCAGTTATCAGCATGAGTCTCCAGAGCATAGGCGATGCGGGGCAGCTTCAAGAAACGAAGCTGTGGGAGAGGAGAAGATCAGACGCTCGAGAACGAGAAGATCGGCCGCAGGAGGACCGGTAGATCATTACCGCGCATGCACGAGACTTGATGGGCCGGGCGAAAGTCCGAGATTTGTCTGTCGATCGATCGCCGAGCCCGAGTCCTGAGCCTCGGTGCGAGACCGCGATCGACCGGTGTTTGGCCCCATCCCTGCCATGTTGGGCCTGCTCGCCCTGTCCCATATGCCGGCCCTCCTGTCCACGCCGCACGCACTGCATCCTTCTCCCAGCGCCGGTAGAACTTCAGCAGTGCGATGCGAGCACATGCTGGAAGGGTGCAGATGGATGGTGCTGGCGGCAAATCTTGTCTACAGCATGCACTGAGCTCGAGTGGTGACCCCTGCAGCTTTGGCAGGTCTCGATCGACGCGAAGGGGGGAGGGGGGGTAACGGCCTGCCAGTCAGCGAAGTGAGTGCACGATTGCTGGTCATGAGGGAACTTCATGCCATGATCGGGGTTGTCAGTACGGTAGTCAGCGCCCCGCACGCGGAGGTCCGCACCCACGAAGATGAGAACTAGTTGATGTGGAGGTGGAAGAGACGAAAAGAGACAAAAGTAGCAATAAGCTGGTCGTAATGACTGACCAGACACCGTCCCCACGCACATCGCCATTCAACCGCGCAATATCAAACTTAGCCTAGCCCCAGCCTCGCAATGTCAGTCAAGCCTCCATACGTCAGCCAGACATCAGTATTCCAGGTTTCCAAAGCTGCGAGCCTAGGTCGTGCATTGTTGAACATTGGTAAGACAAAAGCTTGACCAGAGCCCACTGCTCGATTATCGCTTGTCGCTTTTCTTAAAGCCACATTCTCCTTGCTCGTGCCTAGAGAATCTGGTTCTAGCAGCGCCATCCGAGGCACGACGATAGTGCATAGTAGTATCCCAGTTGTGCAGTCGCCCACACCGTATATGGAGGTTGAGAACGTGCCGTGGCGCTGGCTAGCCGAAGTTAAAGAAACCAAACACCGTCTTCACCTGGTTGCTTATTGCCCGACGCGTCAGTACGCTGTGAGACATCAGCCAGGTAAGTGAGTACCCAGTATGGCCCTACTCTACATGCCAGGACATGCGGAGTGTCTTCCGCCCAGGAGAGTGTCCAGGAGAGCAGACGCCACGCCGCCACACCCCCTCGACCTGCGCTAAAACAGCCATGGCGGAGGATACCTCAGACATACCTTGTGTTCTCCATGCCAGGCTGTGCCGAAGGGATGATCACGGCATGCTTGTATCCCCACATGCTCACCCCGCATACTGCGCAACTAGTGCGGTATGTCGCGTATCGATTCGAGCTTCCAGAAAGGCGAGCAAACGTCAGAGGCGGTCTCGTGATCCTCGCGAGGCTTCGATCGCGAGGGTGTCTCGTCGTTGTGGCGTTGTGCGACATGTGCTACCTAAACGACATAGGCCTGAGGATTTAGGCCCTCTATGTAGCTGAGCGGAAGTCAGAGCAGCTCCGAATGTCCGGCCCGAATGCCGGAGATGCTTTCGGCCGAGGGATTGTCGCCGCATCGGTGCTCCGGGGAAGGCGACGGTGAGCTCGCTCACTAAGATGGCTCAGCATTCCATCGCAGATCGCGAGATGTAGTCATAGCATAACCCCCGAGACCACTTCGTCTACCCGTCGAACATCACTCCGTGGAGGTTGTTAGAGTGTAGTGAGATTCCATCAGCCCACCCGGAGCTGCCGATACGACACTCTGCTCGGTTTCAGCCAGACATCGGTACCACTCTCTGCTTGGAGTCAGCCAGGCATCGGTATCCCCAATATCAGTCCTGTCTCAGAGGTACTCACCAACCCACTCTTCATCGTCTCAAATCTCCATCGAATGTCGTTCTGGCAGTCTCAGTGAGACAGGACGAAGTTTCCAAACACCGTCGCTGTACCTTTGCTGACAGGCAATCAGGCAGGTGGTGAGTACCCTTTCTGCGCAGTCTGCGAAATGCCTCAACCTCCGACCTTGAGCGCTTCGAGCGCCACACCCTCGATCGAACCGCCGTTCCCAGCCCACCTGCGCCACGGCGCACACCTGCACAACCTCTGCCGGAACAGAACATTCACGGCACGCCTGGTAGTACAGTTCTGCCGCGCCACATATCCTGCCTGTCACGACATGTCATGCCTCGCACGCGTCAGAGGCGCGCTTCTCGAGTCGAGAACGGATGTACGCGTATGCGGAGAGCTGGACTAGGGCTGAGGAGACGCCGTCGCGTGATCATCGCAAAGCTCTGTAATGCTGAGAAAGAAGCTCGATCGCGCACGGATGTCTCACCGGTACACGCCTCGACAGTGTCGTGGCTTGCCAAGAGGCAGATGGCATGTGGTACCCCAGACCGTGCTCCACATGTGCACCTCCAACTCGCAGCACTGCCTCGGTCTGGAGCAGTCTCGATCGAGACTGCTGAGAAGGTTGGGCATGGAGGCATGGTTTGCGTCCGACGGAACGCTAACGCAAGCTTACGTGCTTTACCGTTCTGTGTGAGGTGGTACTGGTAAGCCTTGCCGCGCGACCACTTCATGGATCGAAAGGTCCTGCAGGATCCTAGAGGATGTTGGTGCGAGTGTCGATGAAGGGGTGCAGGATGCAGATGAGCCTTCCGGCATGCAGGACCGAGAGCATGGGTTAGGCGTTGGTTCGTCAGTACAGTTGCTGTCCACCGGAACAACCTCGGCATGCCCGGCACCCTGTGGTGAGTACGACGTTGGCGGTAGGTGCGAAATCCGAGCCGTCCGAGCCGACGCTGGACCCCGAAGCCGCCGACATGGGGAGGCAGGGCATGATCGAGTATTAGGGGCGCTCGGCGTCTTGAGCGGATCAGCAGCGCAGCTCGCGGTACGATCGCGGTGTTGACGCGGAGAGTATCGACGGAAGGAACAAGGATGGTCAGGACAGAAGGAGGGATGATGATGCAATGGCGTCGAGCATGGCACACCACCTCATCCACCCTCGTGCATCCTGTGAGATCCTGGGCACTCCTGACGCTGACGGTTCCTGCGAACCTGCATGCAGCAGCATCGCGATGTGTGCTCACGCCGATAGGAACGCAGGAACCGCGAGACAGACCAACCCTCAGCATTACGTCCGCCTTACGCCAAGAGATTCGCCGTGCTTTCCTGAGCTCTTCGATTCAGTGCAGGATCCTACTGACAGGCGTTCCCAGGTTGCAGAGACTATCAACAAGAGGATCAAAGGCAGTTAGATACGCACTAACTCTTCCAGCACGCACATCTGTCAATGACGAGGCTGAGGCCAGATTACGAGGTGAATGAGGGGCGCGCGCCTCTCGCAAAGGGTGGTGAGTAAAAGTTGAGGATTTCGAGCTGTGAAAGAGACGTCGATTGGAGGATGACACTAGCGTATTTCTACGCGACCCTCGGCTGCGCAGGACGGAGCACAGACTCGCACTGAATTGTTTTAAGGTTTTCCTCTTTCGCTAGCATCTGGGGAACATGCAGACGCAGGGAGCCTCGGTGTCGGCACATTTCCAGTGCAATAGCATTCGTCGCTCGGCTCAACTCTCAACTCTGCTGATGAAGAGGTGATTCGACAGGCGGCCCAGGAGGTGGTCGGTAGAGTTGTTCTGCGCACAAGGCACAAGGCAAAGTTATGCACCCGGCACAGAAGGAGATCATTAAGCTGCTTCGCGCGCTTCTGCCGAAAGAACTGCGAAACTCTGATCACTCGGACTAAATCCTGCACCGAGAGGAGCGCGCGTGGCTGACGAACTCATGAGCATTGTGACCAGCCTTTCGAGTAACCTCGCGGGGGTCCTTGCGCACGGATGGGGCCGACTGACATGCCATCGTGACAACGCGGGGTGACCCAAAGCGACCCAGAGCCGTGAGCACGGACTCGCCTTAGGTTGGTCTCATGCGAACTCGAGCCGCAGAGCTGGGCCGCCAAGGGCTTGTGAAGGTCACCTCAGGTCGCGTTCACGCCATCCGGTCTAGGCAAGAGAGGGACCCTGGCACGTGCTGCCCCACGAGCTTCTCCACTAAGGACGCCTCGCGCGCCGCTGCAAGCCAGCGCAAGCCTTCAAGCCTCTGCACATCACGGCGCAGCGCCAGCGCAGCGTGATCGCGCTATGCTGGCGCGATCACCACTGCGATGTGATGTACGTGATGCACTCGCCAGCTCGATACGTCGCCCCGTTGTTGTTGGTAGCGAGCTGTGAACCCTATGCCCAAAGCTAAGAGTTTCCAGACTCGCCGACATGCTCAATCAGACGGCGTTGTGCTGCGTAAGATTCCATCTCGCCACTGCGTGCGGTGGTACGTAGACTCTCCGTCTCGCTGGCCGAGTAACCATACCATCTACCGCCCCAGAAGAAAGCGGCCCACTACTCCTCGTAGCCAAGCGTCGTACAGCTCTCGTGACTTGTCTCAGTCAGTTGCACCCGACCAGGACTCCGAATCTGGGGAGAAGCACCCGACACGCTTCTCGGACGCTCATACGCTCGCTGTCCGCTGCAGAGAACCCCTCGGCATGCCTACTGAATACCTCGATACGCACCTGCCGGAACATGTCCCGGGTTCTCCCTCGTCGGCCCGTACTGGGTGGTGCGGGCGTCTGGGGCGTCGGGATCTGGCATCGGCAGGTCTAAGCCAGTGCCGCTGGCGGCTTGCGGAGCAGTGTCGCGCGTACATCCGCTGTGGATCTGGGGTGTATAGGCACTCTGTGCGCATTCACAGTGCTCGTCTCCCTCTCTTGTCGCACATTAGCACAGGCCCCGCAAGGTCAGCAGCTCTTTGACTGCCTTTTGACTTGCTGCTTTCGTATTCAAGGTCGTGCTGTGTGATTTCAGGCTCGCTCGGAATCTGGCCATTCAAGCAGGGCTGGGCGGCGGCTCAATTCTGCTTAACTTTGAGGCGCACAAGCTTTGCGTTTCTTACGGCATCATCTACCATGTCTTGCACCTTGGTGTTTCGTTGGACGTGCATCCTGTTGAAGTTGGGGTGGTCCAGCAGACCTTGCTTCACGGAAAACAGCACCAAGGCTCCGCAGGACGGTACGGTAGGATAGGGGGACGACGGTCAGCGGGTGCGGTACCTGCGTACCTACTGGGGATACGTGCGAGCCCTGTCGGTGCTGTCCTGCGAGCTGTCCTGCAGGGAGCTCAATCCCGACCCTGCAGCGTCCTGAGGGTTGCTTGGTGAAACTGGCTAGCGTGCAGCAGGCCTTCCCTGGACGAGTGATCTTCACCCGACACCGCGACCGTCACATCAGCAGACAGACAGAGCAGACGACGTCGGGCCAAGAACTGTGGCGTCCAGGTCGGACAGACTGCTGCGGCATCCTCCACTCCCACAGGACCAGGATCCACAGGACACAGATCTGACCCGCAAACGACACGCACCACCCGCACTTCTCTGCCGCGACCCCGCGACCCGTGGACAGTTGTCCGCAGGCCCGAACGCCCCCCGCTCCTCCCTTCGTGAAGAGCCCTGTGAGGCGTTCCGGCTAACCTCACTCCTGGCATACCTGGCAAAGGGGTGAGCACCCCGCAAAAGCGGGCCCTGTGATGGTCTTCTGCAGAACGCCAGACTCGGTAGATTCAGCGAGGTCTGGGCGATCCGGCGGGCGATTCCAAGTGGGCACCCGCACCGATGCGCATCAGCTGGCCACGCACCACAGCACCCAAGAGTACCTCGACAACGTAACGCGACGAATTCTGTGGGCTGTGGGTGCGCCGCATGCGGCGCCGCAAGCCGCGGGAACGCACGCCAAGGTACCACCACCACCAGGCCCGAGGCACAGGGCACCATAGTCCCCAGCGTCTAAGCTCGCCTTGACGTACGCGATACGTGATGCCATGCTACCAGTAGCCATGCATAAAGGCCCGCGCGCCGTTGCTCCGCTGGCCGCGGCCTGTCGAGCTGACTTTTGCACTCTGACATTCTTGACTTTGGACATCTTGCACATTCTTTCGAAGACGACCGACTACGAGCGAGCAGTGGGCCCAAACGACGAACACAAACAACGCCTCCGAAAGCTATTACGGACTAAATCAAACTTTACCAGTTCGACTCTCACCACGCACTCCCCAAAGCCCAGACTGGAGAGCGAGCTGCTCCACAGTTCTCCGCATTCACGATGCTGCCCGACATCGAGCCTCCAACGTCGTGAGTACCACCCATCTGCTCGTACGCCGCGGCTATTGAGCCACGCCTCATGAGGCGTGTTGGCGTATTGACCAAAACGTCACAACCCCTGCAAACCCGGAGTGTAATTGAAACAAGGGCTCCGCTGCAATCGGTGGCCCAGAGCCAGGACGAAGCCAGGACGAGCCAGTCATCAGTCTCAGCCAGCCTTAGTCTGTCTGCCTTAGTCTGCATCTGCTTCAGAGTGGAACTAGCCATGCTAGCAAGAGTGGGCGCGCCGCAATCGCAATGAATGCGTGCTGAGCATGCGGGCACGCGCACGCGCGAGATGATGAGGATACAGGGGCCGCATGGGGTTAAGCATAACACAACATGACAAAGCTCTGCACAGCAGATTGCTAACTATATAGAAGCTCAGCGACACTGGCCGCGCCAACTCGCTCCCCATCTCTCCTCAGCAGACGGTCTCGCCGCTCCCTCCAGATGATCGGAACTCGGTGGCGCCGCGCGAGCAACGCCAATCTCGCCGCAAACATAAACAACCTCACCGTCGACGCTTCTTCGCCTGTTCCCTCCCTCCTCGTTCCCTCCCCTCGCACTCCCACCGCTTCGTCGCCCAGGACACCGACGTCAGCCAGCTCTGCCATGCCGCGCACGCCGACTTCGTACCAGTCCAGCCAACCCCGGCCCTCCATGACGCGCACCGAGAGCTCCCGCAGCAGCAATTCTGGTGAAGGCTCTGTCTACCGTGGAGCAGCTTACGCTGCGTCCACCCCGCGCCTGTCAACAAGCACAAGCAGGAGCACGTGGGAGATGGTCGACGCCGCCTCCCTCCCGTCGGCCTGCGACAGGAGCGACAGGAACATGCAGAGCATCCGAACAGCGCGCAACTTCATTTTCCCCCTGTCCGAGGAGCATGGCCCTGTCTCCTCCGTCTCCGAAGTCGAAGGTCGGTCGGGCAAGCTGGGCTTCACCGGCTTCATCGGTGCCTACGAGGATGAGCCTGTCGTTGTTGTCGAGCTCCGGATCGACTCCCGGAAAACGGTACCCATCGCTCGCTCGATGGGAAGCAAGACGCCAAAGGAGATGGTCTCGACGCTCGACATGGTCCGTTCTTTCGGGCTGATGGCCGAGGACACAACCGTGCGCCAGACGACGAGAAAACTCGAGCCCGAGCGTCCTGAGCGCCGCTCCATGATTAGGCACAAGAACTCCATCCCTCAGCTCCAGACGGAGAGGATACCGATCCCTCCTCCCGTTGCACTCGAGGTGGAGGAGACGAGCCCCGCCCTGTCCTCGGCGCCGACACTCGGCTCCTCCATCGCTTCGCCCATCACACCCTCGGTCGTTTTCGTTCCCTCGCCCCCTTCCCCGGCCATGTCCCAGTTCCCGGCCGACGACATTGCATTCCCCCTGCCTCCCACTTCGATGCCGACGCCCCAGCAGCATTCCCAGCCCAAGTTCCGCCGCACCATGTCCTCTTGCTCCAACACCCTCAGCACCTGCTCGACGACGAGCAGCGCCGACATGCCCACGTACGACGACCAGGTTCCGATGTACCCCCGCCCTCCTCCGCGCCGGGAACGCCGTACCCCAGCTTCGACCTCGGGATCGAGCTTCGGTTACGGCTCCTCGATCGGTGGCCACAGCTCGAACATTTCCATGGGCAGCAGCATTGCTGGTTCCTCGCTGTACCACTCCGACGAGCTCGAGAGCGTGGGCAGCAAGCGTCTCTCGCAGTCCTCGACAGAGCCCACGACGCCTACTACTCCCACCACCCCTACTTCGAACAACTGGACACAAACCCGTGTCCACCGTTCGCCTTCACACTCTCACCAGCGTGCCCCCATCTTCAAGCGCTCCATGAGTTTCCGCCCCGCCTCCGGCACCTCGAACGGCTCGGCCTCGCCCGGCGTTTCATTCACGGTCCTCCCCGCCTCTGAGGCTACGCCGCTGGACACGCTTGGCGAGTCTCCCGCCATGTCCCCCAAGTTTGACGACAGGAGGGGCAGTACCCTCCTCGGCACCAACCACGGGCTTTACGAGGCCAATCCCAGTCTGACGGATATCATCGCGGCCGATCACGAAACGCACGCGCTTTAAAGGAAGGAGGGGGACGGTTGTACTTTTGTTGTAATTCATGTATCACTCTTTTTCTGCGGCTCTGAGACTGACTGGCGCAAACGAGGAAGGTTTGAGAGGGAGTGAGACCCGGCAATGAGTCAGACAGGGAGTTGAGACCCGAGGCCGCTACCTGATGTTCACCTGACATTCTAGAACAAGGTCATGACGAGATCCGCGGTGCGGCTGTGAATGAACTTCACGCGGCTATCCGATACAATGCCCAGACCGAAGTAATGATCTGGCACTCCTCTCGAAGGCCGAGACAGATGAGGCGGTAAAACTTCACAGTGAGCACGAGGGAGTGCGGATCAGTATCGAGTGGCGAATCGGCGCTGCTCTGCATCGTTGCACAACAAGCCCGTTGCGCCAAGACTCGACCCATCGATGTGGGGAGCGGCAGTGCCAAGGGGCCAACTGCACAACAGGCAAGGAGAGTGGGTCCGCCTGGCATACCGTCTGCGGAGCAGCTCTGTCCCCAAGATTACGGACCCGTGCACCGTGCACGCATCGGCCCCGCGTCAACATGTGCTCCGTGCTCTGACGGCGCAGCAGCGGAGCCGATCAAGGGCACTGTGGGTCCGAATCCGAACTGTCTCACCCTGAGACGTTGCTGAAAGACTGCGGGCTCGGATGCGAATGTCGATCGCCAGAAGTTTCGTGATTTGAACCGATGTACGACGCTCTCATTTGTGCGCTGTGATGCAGTGCCACGCGCTCTCGTTCGCTCTCGTGCTGTCTCAGCTCTACGGCCAAAGAGATCTGGCTGGCGATGAGTGGGCTCTTGGCTCGCAGAGGGTGCACATGGCATTCATGCGAGCGGAGCGACAAGCGCCCGAGAAGTCAGTATGGCTGAGAACGGCAGACTTTCTGCTGCGTCCGTGGCGGTGGTGTGGATATCCGCGACTCGGCGTTTCTCCCCCGGAGCACCGAGATGCTAGTCTGATAAACAGCACGGTGATCGCTGCCCATATGCCAGCGGCCCGTTCCCGATATTAGATCACAGTCCTACACATACACACACAGGTATCGGTTGAAGCTCAAGCGCAGATTCAATCGCAGACTTCACAAGCATGGGTGGCATAGACTGCCCACCTGTCGAGCTGTACTTGGCTAGCCTCCTGGCCCAGCAATGTCTCGGCAACTGCAGGCTCAAACTCGAGGTGTCTTCAAGGAACACAAAAGGGGTCAGGATGAAAGCGCTCTAGTTCAGAGCCAAAGGCGGTATGAAGACAATATGACAGTGGTTGACCTGGATGAAACGAGGTATCCGCCAAGATGGTGAGTCACCCGCGCACAGCGTGGTATGCACTTTGGCCCAGGCTCTGATGGGCACACACCGGCATGACTGTGATGCTACCGTGCTGACGAGCGCGCCACGACCGCACCGCCATCTGAGTTCACAGAGGGTCCATCTTCTGTAGGAAGCTGACCTCTACCTCCTTCAGCGTCTCAGGTTCCAAGCAACGCTGCATCAAGGCATGCGACATTCACCATGTTCATTGGATTGATAACTTCTGACATACAACACTCAAACACCATCGGCATCCTTGACGGTGTCCGGCTTGTAGACCCACTCCTTTTTGACCTCCTCCTTCCTGCCCTTCTTCTTCCAGTCTCCGACCTCGACCCACTCCCAATCCTCGCCTCCCTGTTCGCGGTCGAGGATCTTCTTCCACTCGAGATCGTGCGCGAGGATAACGCATACATTGTCCTCCTCCTCCATGCGTCCCATGCGCGCCATGTTGAGGTACGCCGCGGGGAGGTCGTAGTGGATCGCGAGCAGACCTCCGCGCGCCTGCTCCTGCGGCGACAAACCGGCCGAGGCGGGGTAGAGACCGGCGCGGAACGAGGGGTGCTTGCACCCAGCGCAACAGGAGTAGAGACCGCGAACGTGAGCTGAGTCACCGGCCAGGAGCATGTACGTGTCCGGGTCGGTTGAGGTGCGCACAAGAGCAGCGATGTGGCCCACCATGTGGCCATACGCGTTGAGAATGTACAGCGAGCCGTCCCCAAAGTAGTCCACCGCCTCGGGGAAGGAGCCGCAGCGGACCCACTTCGTGTCCTTGCCTAGTTCCTCGACTTCGCGCTCAGAACCGAAGGGCAGATCCGAGTCTAGCACCGAGCTGTCCTTGTACGTCGGGTAACCAGGCAGGGCCGCCTTCGCAGTACCCGGGCCGACGATGAGCTTCGTCGATGTCGGGAACTGGCCAATGTCGCCGATGTGGTCGAAGTGCACGTGCGAGAGAATGACCGTCTCGACGTCCTTGGCGTCCACGCCGTGGTCCTTCAGGACCTCGGGGACCGTGCCGCGCGGCCACGTGATGGGCATGTCCTTGATCAGGCCCTGCGTGAAGGGCGAGAAGTCCTCGAGCTTCGGCTTCAGGCCGAGATCGAAAGCGACCTTGCGTCCGTCAGAGACGTGCTGGGCGTTAGCACTGCGCCCAAACTATGCCCAGCTGCCCTTTCCGTCACACTCTTCCACACGCTGCCAGCTCCCATTATTAGGCAGGTGCGAGAGCAGTCCTCAACACTCACCTCCAGCATGAACGTGTACACAGGCAGGGTGATCTGCGCATCCGTGTCGCTCGTGCGCACGAAGACGCTGAGACCCATGGTCAGGTCCGAGTTCTTGATCAGGTGCACCTTGCAGTACGCATCCTTGCTGGGCGAGGGCTTGAGCGGCTCGAACTCCAGCGAGGCCGTGTCCGGCACCTGAATGTTGCGGTAGTTGTGCTTGTCCTCGTACTCGTCGAGGTACTTGATGTTGGTCGGCATGATGTCTTGCGGCGCGAGCGAGCGAGGCGAGCTAGGTTAGATCCCAGGTGAGCCGCGAGCGACGTTGATGAGAATGAGGCTTGTTGGTCTAGGAGAGAGACTGGGGGAGGGGAAGAGGGGAAGGTACGATCGAGCGGGCTGGTTTATGAGAGGCTGGCTGGCATCCCCAAGAATACCCAGTCAAGAACAGCCGCGACGCTACGCACGTCACATGACGTCCTGCCAGAACATCCGCAGACATGCGCCCGGCGCATCAGACGCCGCCTTTGTCAGCTTGCTGGCGTACTGCACTGGGTGTTCGGTTCTCGCGTCACATGCACCCGAAGCTTGCCCACCTGCGGTTGGTCTCTCCGCTCACGGGGTTCGCGGGGCCTCCGACAGACGGGGCTAGATGCCGGTGACCTCGGCAACTGATATCGGCTGCGATCGCCGAGTACCGTTGCTTCTCCTCCATCTGTTATTGCCACCATTCACACTCCACACAGATGCAACAGAGTACGGCACGACAATTGCGATACAGAAGAAAACGGTGCTCACAGAACAGGTCTACGAACGCACGCACGAAGTGAGGTCCCGGACATGTGAGAGATCAGCTCGGTCCGTCTACTCCGAGGGCACTCGGCCAATTCCACCCACACGTGACTGACTTACAGGATTCCGGTGTTCATGTCCGTGTGCGGGCGGTATGTGGGGACATCTCTGGCGATGCAGCACGCATGAGAGCCCCAGTTCAGGAGCCCTGGCGAATCGGCCTGGCTGAGGGTGAGCACGATGTGCAGTGAACGCGACGCCAATCTTGCTCTGGGTTTTTGCTCACAAACACGAATCGAGAGCCCTGTTCAGGAGGTCTTGTGTTCACTTGCCAGTGCTCCTTCTAACGCGGAAAGAGCAGGGCATACCCAGTCCGCAGGTTAGCCAGTCTTGTGAGTAGGCGCCGGACGACTTAAAAGCTCAAGTATAGACCTTCAATAGCTTCCTAAGTCGCTCGTGTCAGGCGACTCTAGGTACTAGGTTCGCAGCCGCACCTGGTAAGTCGCTGGCTGACCACTGGAAGCCGCAGGGAGCATACTGCATGCGGTCTTGGGCATGGAAACACGGCAGAGGGCTATACGTCAGCCACAAGCAGGCACATCACCTTGCGCCCTCTGTCTCACACTAGTGCGAACCAGTGTGGCACCGCCGATCCTCCAACACTCCGCGGCTCTCCACACCACACCAACTCAACCTCACGTTTATCAACCGCCAGAGCTCGCAAAACGTCCGTTCGAGCGCACAGGACACCAAAAAGTACGCGTGGACGACTTAGGAATCGAACCAAAGACCTCGTCAAGGAAGCAAGAGATGCTAATGACGCGCTCTACCAACTGAGCTAGACGCCCGCCATTTGTTACGTAACAGCTCAGAGGGCGGAGAAGTCGGGCGCAGGGGGGCGGGCAACGGCCAGCTTCATCGGCGCCCCGGATGTTGATAATGACATTTGAGCGGACAAAGAAGAGCGATGTTGGGGATGCTAAGACTGTTCGCTGTGGTCAGATGATATGGAGGGGCACTGACCGGGCGGAGCCAATGGGAAGCCCGAGCCGGAGAGTGCGAGACAGGAGCAGAGATGATCCGTGTGCCCGCTCGCCGAAAGGCTCACCGAAGGGCTCACCGAAGGGGTTACGGGTGCCCGGTGCCCGAAATTGTTCGAGTCATGCTTAAAAGTACCACCTGCTTTGCCCTGCTTCGTACCTCTTTCTCTGTTCCGCTTGGCCGCTGTGTGCGCTGCGTGCGGAATCGAGTCAGCGCTGGGCCCAGAACAGGACCTAGAAGGTACAAAGCGGACGGTGTGCGGGGCCAATCAGATGCACGTGCGATGAGATTTGGGATATAGCAAGAGGTTGAGGAATGCAGGATCGGATCTAAGGCGTTGGGTCGGACGCAGAAGACGCAGAGTCTAGAACACCGAACAGCCCAGTTTTGGTCATTCCCAGCGCATTTCGCGATTTCGGGCCTCCGATAACTCATCGCGTCCAGCTGACCCAGAAATTGTGAACCGGCTCTCAGCCGATATCCAGTATCTCGTGCGGGGGCGGCATTCCGCTCTCCATCAACTAATCTCAGACACACGACGGTATATCACAGCAAGAACGGCATGGTGCGATGAGCCGAGACCCACGAGACCTAGACACGGATACGAACAACAGCGCGGGCGGCAACATGAATGCCCAGGACGAAAAGAGTGACTACCCCGTCGCCAACTTTGAGGAGCCGGCTGGGCGCCAGCGTGCTCTCCGCCGTTTGCTTTGGAAGCAGGATCTGCTCCTCATGCCGCTGCTAACGGTCACGTTAGGACTGCAATACTACGACAAGGCCGCTCTCGGATCCGCCGCCGCCTTCGGCATCCTGAAAGACCTCCAACTGCAGCACAACGGCACGACAACACGTTATGCAACAGCGACAGCCTGTTTTTACTACGGATACATTGTTGCGGTGCTTCCCGGTGCCCTGCTCTTCGCACGCCTGAACCTGCGCTATGCCGCCGGCACAGTGATCACGCTTTGGGGCCTGGTCGCCATCCTCACCGTCGTCGTGACAGACTACAAGGGACTGTATGTGCAGCGCGTCTTCCTGGGACTGCTCGAGAGCGCGGTGTCACCATGCTTCGTAGCCATCACAGCCTTGTGGTACAAGCCGCAGGAGCAGGCGAAGAGAATGGGCATCTGGTACTCGGCCACGGGCATTTTCAGCATGTTCAATGGTCTCATCAACTTTGCCCTCGGATCCAGCGGCGACGCCCACGCTTGGAAGTACATGTGCGTGACTCTCTTTGTAAAGTTGAGCATAGGCTGACCTTCAGTTACTACTTCTGCGGAGCCGTTACCATGGCGTGGGGTCTGGTCGTCATGGCCCTGCTGCCTCCCTCGCCGCTCCAGCCCGGTCCCTTCTTCAACGAGACTGAGCGTGCCCTCCTCCGGCGGCGGTTCGAGGAGAACCCCTTCGCGCGAGACCGACAGCCGCTGAAGTGGAGCCAAGCGCGCGAGGCGCTCCTCGACATCAAGACGTGGCTGTACCTCCTCGTCGGTGCTCTGGTGTATCTCTGCAACGGCGCCGTCACCGCCTTCGGCACGCTCATCATCAAGTCGCTCGGCTACAGCGGCCTGCAGTCTGTCGCCCTCACGATCCCGGGCGGCGCAGTGACCTGTGTCACGATCTACATCTTCACGGCGCTCGCGGACCGTTTCCGTGACTCGCGCACTTGGCTCTTCCCCATCTCCTGCATCCCCGTTGTTGTCGGCGCTATTGTAATCTGGACAGCGCCGTGGCATCCCACCGCCGGCCCGCTGATTGGGTACTATCTCGTCGCATCTTTCGGCGCGCCGTATGTGCTTCTCCTCGCCCTCGCGTCCGCCAACACGGCCGGCAGCACAAAGAAGGCAGTCACAAATGGCGCCATCTTCGTCGGATACAACGCCGGCAACATCGCCGCAAGCTACACGGTCAAGACGCAGGAGGCGCCGCAGAAGTACAAGTCCACTTGGATCACCGTCATTGTGGCCATGGCCGCGGCGAGCATCCTCATGCTCGTGCTCCGTTTCCTGATCAAGAGGCAGAAGGATGCGAATGACGCCGAGGAGCTCAGCGACGACGACGTCGTCATGAAGGTCGAGGAGTATCAGGACTTGACGGACCGCCAGATCCGCGGATTCAAGTACAGTTTGTAGTTTTCTGCTGTGAGCTGAGCGAGCGGCCGATTGTATAGAGCAGTAGCCCGATCCAAGCGAGACAGCGAGGCGAAAAGGAGTTCAGTAGACCGATGATATTGTTATAATCGCGCGCCGAGGGGTCAAGGAGATGGGGCCAAATACAATGCAGAAAAGTCATATGCTAAAGTGGGTTAGAGGTAGGGCATGAGGCGCTGGAGGTTCTTGTTTTGCTGCTGTCAGTCGTGTCCAAGAGGACTTCAACTCACCCGAGATCCCTTCGCGATGTATCCGTAGCCGCGGAGGCTCTGGCCAGTCCTGCCCGACATCTTCGTGTTCAGGTGCGTCTTGCCGCACTTGGCCTGTGTCGTCAGTCCCTCCTGTCTTCCTTTCGCGTTTCCTCGCATCATCTTCGCGTCGTTCATGCCAAAAATTCGTGCAACAACAAGGCGCGACTTACGTGACGGTACTGTCTGTCAGCTGCCGGGACACCGAAGCTGGGAAGGGAAGAACTCACGATACCAGTGCCGGTGATGGAGAAGCGCTTGGCGGTACCCTTGTGCGTCTTGAGCTTCTCGACGACGGCGGAGGTGGAGAACCCGCGCGCGCCGAGCGGGCGCAGCATGTTGAGGCCGAACATTGTTGCGTGGACTGGCTGAAGCAACAAGCTCAATGTTCGGACTTCGGTTCGACGTTGAAAAGTCAGATCCGGAGTATCGATCGGCCCACGTGGTTAAATCTCCCACGCTGGCCGTCACTTTCGGAGAGGACCCTTTGTTTTCGCAGAACGCGCAAGCTACCAAAAATCCAGAAGAACGATAAGGATGTATGCGCTTGCATGCACTACTACTGATATGAATGGGGCGTGTGATACTACAGTGCGGTGTCCGATGGGTCCGACAAGATCTTACTTCTGCTGCTGCTGGGCCTGCTGCTGGGCCTGCTGCTGGGCGGCAGCCTCCTGCGCCACCTTCTCATCACCTCCACCCATCATGCCGAAGAGCGAGCCCTTCATGGCCTGGAGCTGGCGCTGCTTGTCCTCCTCGATCAGGCTGTTATGTCAGTTGAGATGAAGAAATCCGTAACTTACCGAAGGAACTCCTCCTTGTGCTCGTTGTAGTACTTTTGCTCCTCCTCGTAGGCACGCTGGGCCTGCTGGCGCTTGATCTCGAGGTAGGTCATGGGCTGCTGGGGGCGGGTCTGGCCGCCGCCGAACAGGCCCGCAGTCCAGCTGCTGCCCTTGTTGGGGTGCGTCCGCTCCCACTCGGCGATGGCGGCCGCCTTCTGCTCAGCCTCCTTCTTGGCGTACTCGCGGGGAATGTCCTTGCCGGCGTAGTGCTTGAGGACAGGGCGGACGTCCTGGGGAGCAAAGATGGCGATGGCTGTCGTCAATTGACGAAGGCACGTTTAAACTTACACTCAAGGAATGGGATCATCTCGATGAGGCCCTTGTCGCCGGCCTTGCCGTCCCAGCGGGGCATGATGATGGCGTTGTCGGGCTGGAGGTGGGCATGCTCGGGGTTGACGTCGAGCATGACGACCTTCTTGGGGTCACGGTTCAGGTAGTCGATGTCCTTGACAACCTTGCCATCAACGTAGCGAGTGTTCTCACGGAAGAGCTTGTAAGGAAGGTAGAGGGTCATGGGGTCGAGCTTCTCGGAGACGGGAAGGCCGGTCTGAAGTTAGCTATGGCACCCACAGGCTGAAAGCTGGCACTCACGAACGAGGGCTGGCTCGAGAAGAGGACAATCTCGTAGAACTGGCTGAGGTAGCCGAGGAAGTAGTCGACACCGGGGCGCTTGGCCGTCCTCCAGCCGTGCTGGCGGTCCCACGAGGAGTGAACAAGCATGTCCTCGAGGTCGACAAGGAGGGTGTAAGGGCGCTGGTGGGGAGGAGGAAGGGGGTCGGGGAGGAGGACCTCGAAAGCGGGCTTGGAGAAGATGTCTCCAAGAGCGGTGAAGTTGGCCTTGAACTGCTCAATGAAGCTCTTCTTCTCCTTAGCCTCGCCCTCCTTCTCTCCCTGGTTCTCTCCAACGTAGTACGCGGCAGCGATGACACCGACGAACAGACCGGCATAGCCGAGACGGGCCACGTTCCTACGCTTCCTGTCGATGGACGACTCGTACTTGGGCGGCTTCTTGCCGGCGCCAGTCTTCTTCTGGCCCTTGGCGTCCTCCTTCGGCTGCTCAATGGCCTCCTGGGCACGGGCCTGAGCCTCGGGGTCGATGTTCAGCGAAGGGAGCTTGGAGAGGTCCGGCTTGTCCGGGATCTCCTCGACGGGCTCCTCAACCTTGGTTTCCTCGGGCTTGGGCGGCTCAGACGGGGGAACGGCGGAGGCAAGGGGCTCGGAGGCGGCGCCGGGGGTCGTGGTCTCAACATTCTGAGCGTTCACCTCGGGCTCAAACTTCTTGCCGGCATCGACGCTGGGCGGGACCGAGGCCGGCTTCTCGGCAGGAGACGGCTGCTCGGGAGCCTTGGGCGGCGGGGTCGGCTTGGCCGGCTCAGCACCCTCGGGCTTCTTGATGCGGATGTAGCGGGGGGCAGTCGTCGACAGTTGTCGGCGGGGCAGAGCGCGCGCAGCGCATGCAGCGGACAGGACGCCGTGACGGAGCATGGTGGTGGCAAGGGTAGTGGATTGCAAAGTGCTCCGAAATCCAATCTCATGTCTCTTTGGACGCTGCGTCTGTGACTTTATTTGATCCCGTCCGAGCTTTGGCCGGTCGTGCGTCATAGTTGTGCCGATACTCGGCAATTGCAGCGGCACAAGCCAAGTTAGCGGCAGTGATAGACTACAAAATGCATGCATACAATGGTCTAGCGACGCTCATAGCGGTCGTCTCGTCTATCACGGTCCCGCCTGTCGCGGTCGTCGCGGCGGTCCCTGTCTCGGCGGTCATCTCTATCTCTCCTATCGCGGCGGTCGTCGCGGTCCCGGTCCCGGTCTCGGTCCCTGTCTCGACGGTCCCGGTCATGGTCCCGGTCTCGGTCTCGGCGGTCACGATCACGGTCACGATCACGATCACGATCACGGTTGCGATCCCGGTCTCTCCTGTCATAGTCGCGGCGGTCGTCTCTCCGATCCCGGTAGTCGCGATCGCGATCGCGGTCACGGCGGTCGTCGTCTCGTCGAGGGCTTCTGCTCCGCTTCCTCTCGTACCTGTCTCCATAGCCAGCGTCCCTCTGCCTCGGAGCGTCGAAGCCACCACGGTGGCCGCCACGCATGCCGCCACGGCCGCCTCCGCGTCCTCCTCTGCCGCTGTTCAAGCCCATGAGCTGAGCACGGTTCATCTTGGCGACGCTCTGCGAGAAGTCGACGTGGATACGCCGGTCATCGACGAGCACATTCTGCATCTTGAAGTACGCCTGCTCGGCGCTCTCCTTCAGGTCGAACTCGATGAAGGCGTACTGCAGCGAGTCGCCCGACTTCTTGTCGCGGACGATCTCGCACGAGAGGATCTTGCCGAAGCGGGAGAAGATGAGCTCGAGGTCGTCGTCCTGCGTGACGGGGTTGAGCTTGCACACGAAGAGGATGTTCTCGGGCGGGCGGACCGCGGCGAAGGGCAGGTCGCCGATCATCTCGAGCGTGAGCGCCGACGAGTTGGCGGCCGTCTTGCGCCGCTCCTCCTCCGCTTGCTCTTCCGACATCTCCTTGAACGGGTCCTCGTCGTCGGCGATGCGCGCAAAGCCCGAGTCGGGCGCACGCAGCGGCGAGTCGGGAACCGGAATCATGTTCGGCGGGTCCTCGAAGGGGTCCTCTAGGATTTCGACGTGCCGGATGCGAATGTCCTGCAATGGCCGGCCCTCCTGGTCGAGGAAGGCATCGTTGATTTTGTCCAGCGTGTCGAGGCCCTCAATGACGTGCCCGAACACGCAGTGCTTGCCGTCCAGGTAGTCAATGTTGTCCGCCAGCGTGATGAAGAACTGGCTCCCGCACCCCGGCGGCTCGACGGGCGCGACGGCCATGGACACCGTCCCGCGCTCCTTGTGCTTCAGCTTGGTCGTGATCTCGGGCTCGATGTAGCGCGGCGGCTTGGATCCCTCGTGGTTCTGCGACCAGGCATAGGACTCGAAAGACTCGCCGCCCGTCCCTGTCGCGGTGGGGTCGCCTGTCTGGCAGATGAAATCCTTGGACACTGGGGTCAGCTGGCGCAGAGAGTGAGAGAGCTTGAGGTAACTCACCATTGAAGAACGCGTTCAGTCCGTAGTACTTCACCTTGCAGAGCTTCAGGAAGTTTTCGCAGATGCGCGGGCACCGCTCGACCTCGAGGTCGATGACCAGCTCGCCGAGCGAGGTCTCGAGCAGGACCGACATGGTGGATGGTGAGGATGACCAAAACAGTTCATGGCCAGACATCTGATGTCAGTGGTGATCACGTGACACGAGTGGCGACGAAGTGGCGGATGGACACCTCTGATGGAAGAGGAAGAATGTTTCGATGGAAAGTTGTGCATCACATCAGGTAGGGAGCACTGTTGCACTGTTGTTGGGCTGTCTTCCAAGGTCTTTGGAATGTTCGGGGCAGTTCGCTGCGGTCTAGGATGCACCAGGCCTGAAGACTGTTAAAGTCTCTACATCTGGCGGCACATGAAGTGACACCACTTGCGAGAGTGGCTGAACCTGTGTGTGCAGAGCTTCAGAGCTCAAGCATGCAGCCAGCACACACACAGTCCAGTCACTCGCTGGTGCATCAAAGGTGTCGGACGACGTCCCCTCCGTCTATCCAGCACTGCTCCCGCTGTGTGTGTGTGTGGACTAGTCGTTCGACGACCCAACAGGCTGATGCCCGCTGATTCTCTTCCTCACTTTCTCTCTCCTCTCATCAACGCATTCTATCTCTTCTCTCTCCATCGTTCTTTCACTCTTCCTTCCTTTTTTCTCCGACCTTTTAACTCTCTCCTCATCGTCAACTGTCGCTTGGCAACTCTCCACTCTGTAACTCTCGGAAACTGCCAAAGACGATCGGGACCACGCGCTCTCCACCGCCACGATGATCGTCGAAGTGCTCTACTTCGTCTGGATCCTGCTCATGTTTACGCTGCACTGTGAGTATCCTCCTCCTTCCACCCCTTCTCTGCGCTCCCCTCTTCTTCCTTCTTCACACTCCACCCCCTCATTCTGTCCACTCTCGCTAACACCCAGTGTCCACACCCGTGGGCAAGGTCCGCTTCGTGACGATCAACTCGCCCTCGCCCTTTGTCAACCTCCACCTGGGAGCGTGGGGCTGGTGCAACCAGGTCCTTGGGGTCTGCCACGGCCCCGAGGTCGGATACAACTTCACGACGTCGCTGGCGAAGCAGCTCCGCTTTAAAGAGCTGCCGGGCGACTTTTCGGCCGATACACGCGTTCACGGCATGTTGCCTGCCGTGCTTGGTGAGTGGGCTTCTTCTTCCCTTCCTTCGTTCCTGCCATCGACCGCTGGGCCGCTGGGTGGCAGAACAAAGCCCCGTTCATCAACCGTGCCCGGTCGTTCACTCGACTCGGACGCTTGGAGGGAGGCGTTAGGGCCGACTGCGTGGCCATCTACATTCGCTGACTCCAGCCTGGGGACTCGTCACGCTCGTCCTCTCCCTCCTCGCGATCAAGTACGCGACAGACGCGCTGCAAGTCTTTGCAATCTACGGGACTGGTCTCCTCGCGGTGCTCTGCACGATCTACGCGGCAATCGTGTGGAAGTGGGCGCGCGACCTGAACTCGACTCTCAAGGCACACACGAGGGCGAGCGCGCACTATTCGCACGGATACTGGCTCCTCATCCCCATCTTTGTGATTCCGTACCTCCTCACGATTGCGGAATGGTTCAGGGCCAGGGAGTGGGAGGAGATGCCCTTCCTGCAGATTGGGGATGTTTACGTGCCCTCCACTGCGGCGCCGTCGATTGCCAGTCGCCGCACTGCGCGCACTGGTGGAGGCGGGAGGAGGAGGAGCAGGAGTAGGAGTGTAAGGGGCGCGACCATCGAGCCCGGCAACGCCCTCGGGCTCTGGCCCGGTGCCGTGCCCAATGCTCCTGCGCCGGAGAGGCATCGCCCGACCTACACCTTCTTTCCGGAGCCGGAGGGCGAGTACAACACGTACCGCGTCGGACGGACGCCGCCCCCGAGCGGGTTCTGGGGCAGGGCGTACGAGGGGAGCAGCACTACGACGTACCCCAGCTCGGGGAGTACGGTCTATCCCCCGCCTCATTGGGGGCAGTACTAGTGTCCTCACTTCATCTAGGTCACATATCAAATGCTGTGACACTCGTCAAGGTTCGCGACTTTGGCGAGTTTTCGGTACTCTTCAAGCAAGATTCTTGCGTTTCGGCGCATATTCAAGGTCGGGGTACAGGTCTTCTGTGCCCTCATGTGACACGGCTGTATGTGCAGCTTGTTGCGCAATCAATCTCCTCCTCACTTCCTCCCTTTGACGGCTTACAATGTCGTTGTTGTTGTTGTGTACCTCTCAGTCCGTAGTCGTCGCTATCCAGCGGCAAGTATATATAGTGCTTGAAGTTTACATGTAATCACTTTATGCAGCGCAGTTTCGCCTCATCAAGGAGGAAGCACTGTGCTGTCAGTCTGGCCGCCTGTTGCGGCCAGGCCACAAGCTGCTGTGTCAGCCTCCAGTGGAGTCACCTGCGTCCGAATCAGTGTGTCAGTCGCGAATCAGTAGCCCTCTCCCCCAAGCACCTCTCTATACAACAGTTCTAGCATCTAAGCTCTACTTACGACCCAGGACACACCTCTCGACCCAGAACTCGTGAATCCTCGCATCCCCCGACAATTCGGGGTGGAATGATGTGACCAGCTTCCGGCCCTGGCGGAGCATGACGGCGCCCAGCGTCTCCTCGTCGGCCGGGCCGAGAGGAGAGTCAGCGGGCGGCGGGGCCGGGATGCATTCCGGAGGCAGGCTGGCGAGGATCTCCGTCTCGGCGCGAGCTGAGGGGGAGAGGGAGTGCAGACAGGGCGCACGGATGAAGATCGTGTTGAAGGGCTCGTCGGGAAGGGAGAAGAGAGAGGGGATAGCGAGGGGGTACTCGAATGACTCGAGCTGGCCTGGGTTTGTCAGCTACGCGTTACGTCTCTGAAGCTGGTTTCGGCGGCTGCGACGGATCTTGCGCTGATGGGCCGGGGATAACTATCCCCGACTGTCCACCACCACCACAGTGTCCAGAGTCGAGCGTACTCACCACCATACAAGTTTCGCCAGACCTTCATCCCCCGAATGCCACCCCAGGCCTTCCCGTCGCCTTGCCTCTTGCCGCCACCAACTCCATCCGGCTCAGCCATGAGGATCATGCCGGCGCAAGTCCCGTAGACTGGCCGGTTGGGGTCGGCAACGAAAGCCTGGAGGGCGGGGAGGAGGCCCTCCGTTCTGGCTGCGACGCGCGTGATGGCGGTCGATTCGCCGCCGGGGAGGATCAGGGCGTAGCATTGCTGTGCGTCAGCTGAAATCCCTATCTCCGACAGCTTAGGGGGGAGGTATCAAGCGCCGAGCAGAGGAGCACGGGTGGAGCAAGAGGATGAGGAAGACAGGCGGGGAAGAAGGCAGATAGGGTTGAAGAAAGGAAGGAAGGCATCTGCGCGATCTTGGCGGCTCATGATGACTCACGTCAAGCTCATCCTTTGTGCGCACCGCAATGGCGCGGATCGTGTGTCCCTTTGACCGGAGACTGACGTTAGCTACCAACTTCGTGGACAGCTACGAGTGACTCACCGGTTGAGATAGGCAATGTGCTCGTGGAAGGCGCCCTGGAGGGCGAGCACGCCAATGGTGAGCTGCTCGGGGACGTGTTCCCTCTCTTCCTGGAGTTCGATCGTCATTGTTGCCGCCTATCGTTTTCCTGTCCCTTCCGTTCTTCTAGTCCAGCTGGGGTATTGCGAGTGTGAGTGGAATCAAAGGGATAGTGAGTAGAGAGAGAAGACAGTTGCAAGGAAGGTGAGGGGGGTGAGTCGACTTTTCTGGTGCGCTAATCTAATCTCCGCAAACGTAGGTCCGGTTGGATAAACCTCCACTTGGTTGACTCGGACCATAGATCGGAGAAGCAAACTCAGATCCATGGCGTGCGCGGACGCAAACCGCGCTTCAACATTTATGCGAGGAATGTGAGGCTTCCTCTTCTCGGAATTGTAATACGTGTAGGTAGGCTAGGTAAGCACGTGGTGGTATCAACAACGTGGCATGCCGTCATCGATCAAGCTTGAACGACCCAAACAACGCTCTATTATTCCCCGACTCGCTGGTGGCCGGTGGCTGGTCGCTACACCGCCCTCAACAGTGGAGACAGTGGATGACGCTGACTCTCTCAGGGAGCCTAGTCGAGCTTCCATGCACGTAAATTGCACCCTACGCCTTGTCACTTTCCTGCCAAGAAGCGATAACACAGACAAGACGCGCCTGCTTTTTCCCCAAGGTGTGTCCAGTCAACAAAGGGAGAGTTGTCTCCGATTAACCCCCCTTGAGGGCTGAGCTTATTTCTCACTTCGTCTTGCCAACCACGTCGAGAGGGAGATTTCGGGGAGTATGATACTTCGGATGCACCACAACCGTTTGGAGCCTTCCGTACCTCCGTACCTAGTCGACATAAACACGGGGGACCTTGCCCAGGACCTTTGTGCTTGGGCCTGACAAATACGGCATTACGCGCGCGTACGTGCGCGTCCTGCGTCTTAGCGGATGCAAGTGGAGCAGATCCCGTCCGCATGTCCGCAGGAGGCGATGCCGCTTCCAGCTCAACCGCAGCGTATTCTGCGTGACATTGTTCTGCGGTTTCTAGCACGCTTTGCTCTTCATTAACGCGGATAAGCGCCGTGACTTATCACGAGATCCGTGACTGTGACCACAGCGGGATCTGCGCACCGTGACTACCAAGACAGGGGCAAGGGGGGTCATGTCGGGCAACAGCACTTGCCTCGGAGTCAGAGACGCAATGTACGGCAAGTGGGCAGGCATATATGCAACCGACGATCCTGCTGTCTTATTCTCGTCTGCCGAGTTCGAGGAGTGCTGAGCTGCGCCGAGCACTGCTTGCATGCCATCGATTCCAGCTCAGGGCGTTGCGCGTGCTAGAATATGCGCGATTTATTCCACGGCCGACTGTAGCACTATGGACTGGACGAGTCGCAGTGCGCCTACTCATCCTGTACCGGTGACTGCCTACAGGCGGCTGTGCGCGGCGGTCTCGGCGCACCGTCTAAGGCTTGGATGCACTTGGGTGGGCTCAGCACTCCATAGCACGCTCTTGGCTCTTGGAACCGGAACGTGCTCAGACAACACGTAATGACGGCGTACGTCCTCTGTCTTAAACCGCCGGTACCGCACGCCCAAGCACTCAGGCTCCCAAGCCAAATTGCCATAGTCGGCCAGCCTGCGTGCTCTGTAGTCTCTTGGCTCGAGGGATCTCGCCGTAGAACGTAAGGAGCGTAAGCAGACGGTCGGAAGCAAGTCTCTGCTGCATGATCGCATGATTGCCTGGCCACTCGCATGGCATAGACCGCATAGGTGATCGCAGGCTCGCAGGCGAACATGTTGCGCCGGGGCAGCAGCCAGCTCCTACATTGAATGGCACTGGTCAGCCATTACGACGCACGATTCTGGTTGGCTTGCATAAAGAGCGTGCACCCTGAGACTCTCATCAACTCGGGACCTGGAAGCACATCGGTTGGGACAAGTCGGAATCGAAACCTCGCAGGCTGCGTGCCTGCGTCCGCCGCAGCGGGCTCCCCGGCGTATGCAGCGCAGCAAGGCCTGAGTGTACTGCCCGCGCCCAAGTTCCCCCCCTCGAGCCTCTGCCCGCAACGACAGGAGGCGTGACCTGCCCCGAGCCGAGCCAAGCTTGGTACTCACGGCCGTAGTAGTGACGGGGGTGGCGTCTGCAGACACAAACAAACAAGCGACATCCAGATGGCGACATGTGCAGTGAGAACCGGACATTAATCAGGCTCTGCACACTGCTTAACTCAATTAACTCTTAAATGGAGAGGTACGCACGTCTCCTCCTCGCTGTGCGCGCTGTGCAGCAGTGTATCGTGGAGCAGCATGGAAGCAGCGTGTTTGACTGGTTCGAGCTTAGTTCCGAGTTTAGCGGTCTTGGGTGGGTGGGTGCAGGTGCAGACGGTACGCGCTTGATTTTTTTTTTCTCGGACCCTGGGCTCTGCCGCCCTCGTCCACCCTGGGCGCATTTGGGAGTGCAGTTCCCGTGCCGTCCTTCTGTTCCCCGTCTGGTCTCCTTCTCTCTGCCAGCGTGTACCAGTGGCCAAGCTGATCAGGGGCATGGGCAGAGTGTCCCCTGAAATGACCTCCTTAGTGTACTCTTGGCCACAAGCCACTGCAATCTGCACCATTCATCCCAGCCAGAGGGCAGGGGGGGCAGGCAGACGCTTGCCACTGTATTCCACTGCTCACTCGCCCCCCTCCCCCCTCCCCACCGCTGCAGCGCTGCACCGCACCGCACATATCATAACATGACTAGGCGCATTTCTCTTCTTCTTTCTCCACCACCCATCCAACACCCCCCAACCACATCCCTCTTGTGAGTGACTAACGGCGGCTTGTCAACGTCGACAATGGCGATCTGCAACGATCTGCACGACGCCCGGCCCCCTGCTGATCAGAACGTGGACATGACGCTGACGCACACACTCTCTTTGTTCTCTTGCATTATCGTCCGTGCCCCTGTCTGTGCCCTCCCTCTGCGCTTCCCCCTCTGTGCATCCGCCCACGCCTCCCATCGCATCCACCATCACACGCAAACGCTTGTGACGCTTTCACTCTTGCACGACTGCGCCTCATCCATCCTACTGCGCTCACCGCCATCCGTGCGATCATCCTCCCTCTTGGCATTCACTCCATCCCATCCCTCCTAACCTGTCGACGTATCCCACCATGCTCGATTCAACTTGTGATCCGGTCTACGGCCTTCATCCACCCCCGCCGACAACATCCCCCATCCACTCCATCTCGACTTCTCCCGACCTTATTCTCGACCTCACTCTTTGTCCTGACGATCGCTACCCATTTCGTTGTCTTGTTTTTCACCCTACAGACCGAAGACGCTGGCTCGTCTTCGCCAACTTGGACACTCGCAGGTCGAATAGCGCTAGTCGCACGTCCACCCCCTTAGTTAACCTTGTTTCGCTACCCTCAAGCTCATTCTTCTCAACATGTACACCACCCTCCTGGCAGTTTTGCCATTGCTCTTGACGCCGGTCGTCGAGTCTGCGTCGGTCCCCCTCAACAACCGCGCAGACATCAAGGTCGCCGGGCGCGCCATCCCCGAGGCCAACCGTCGCCTGGTGCGACGAGTCGTTCGCCGTGGCGGTGACTCTTCCAACTGTGGCAACTCTACTGGAGTTGACAACGGAGGCAAGGAGCACCAGCACAAGCCGTCGAAGACCAAGACGAGGCCTCACTGGAAGCCTAAGCCCACTGGCGGCCACAACCACGGCGGCGACGACGACGATGACGACGATGATGACGACGACGATGAGGACTGGAATGACGGAGACGACGGCGATGATGACGACGATGACAAGCCCACCAAGACTACCAAGACGGATGACTGGAACAAGCCGACTGACTCGTCGTCCAGCTCTTCTTCTTCCTCTACTACCGTCTGGTGGACTTCGCAGACGACTCCCTGGTGGACCACTTCATCTGAGACCGCCACGGCGTCGTCTTCCTCGTCCTGCGGTGAGTGGGACTGGGACTGCCATCACCGCTCGTCTGCTACCCCGACTGCGTCGGCGACCTCGTCCTGTGCCGCTTGGGATTGGGACTGTCTCCACGCTTCCTCCGCTACCCCGACTGCGTCGGCAACCTCGTCCTGCGCTGAGTGGGACTGGGACTGCCTGCACGCCTCGTCCTCGACCTCAGCGTCTGCTACGACTACTTCTTCCGGCAACCCACCCGAGTCCACTTCGCAGTGGCAGCTCGTCACCAAGATTGCCGGCAACGAGTTCTTCGACCCGAAGCACTGGTGGTTCTGGAGCTTTGACGACCCGACCCATGGCGATGTTCACTACGTTGACGCCGGCACTGCTTGGAACGACGGTCTCGTTTCCATCAATGAGCGCGGCAACGCTGTCATGAAGGTCGACACGACTCCTTACCGCGAGAAGGGCAAGCGCAAGTCTGTGCGTATCCACGGTACGCGTGTCTTCACCGGTGGCATGGTTCTCATGGACGCTGTTCACATGCCGACTGGATGCGGTACTTGGCCCGCCTGGTGGCAGAACGGCCCGAACTGGCCTCACGGCGGTGAGATTGACATTCTGGAGGGAGTCAACGACAACACCCAGAACCAGGTCTCGCTGCACACTGGTCCCGGCTGCACGATGCCCGGCAACTTTGAGAGCGGCCAGAAGGGTGTTCTTCACCGTGGCAACGGCGACTTTGACGCATTCAACTGTGGATCTGCCGCCACGTTCAACCAGGGATGCGGCGTCCTCGACCAGTCGAGCGACGCTTCGTACGGCGAGTCGTTCAACAATGCGAACGGTGGTGTTTACGCCCTTGTCTGGGCCGACTATGCCATCCAGGTCTACTTCTTCAAGCGTTCAGACATTCCCCAGGACATCAAGGACGGTTCGCCCAACCCTGACAACTGGGGCACGCCTGTCGCCAACTTCCCGACGACGTCGTGCTCACCGTACGAGGCGTTCTACGATAACTTCAACATTTTCGACACGACGCTGTGCGGAGACTGGGCTGGCTCGGAGGGCGCGTGGTCGTCTTGCCGCGCCAAGACTGGCTACGCGACGTGCTCCGAGTATGTCGCCAATGAGGGTGCCTCGTTCAAGGACGCGTACTGGGAGGTTGTCTCGGTTACGTACTACAACTCTACCAACATCTACTAAGTTCGGACTCTGTCTGACCGGCCTGTAGCTGGCCTACTCTCCCCGACGACAGGTGTACGATTAGTAGGCGAACCCCCATCAATAGAGAAATACCGGACAATCCATACCCTCGCGCGCGCGAACAAACATGTTGAACCAACTCCTCCTCCTCATCCCAAACCTCACCTGCCTGGTGCGGGTGTACCATAGTTTATTCTATACATCACTGACGATAATGAGCTAGTCAGGTAGCAGTTATGCATTGATTGCGTAATGACTGAAGTCTAGAAGCATGATGAGTGTGCCTGTAGTGGGAAGATGGAGATGGGATGGCTGACGAGAGGAGGCTATTTCTGGCCGTGGTCAATTGCGACTCGCCATTGTCCTCAATCACTGATATCGCGTCGAGGAATGCAGATCGCAGTGCAGTCGTGCTCGTGCTTGGCCTAAACTTGTCATATCAAGAAAATGTCTATGTACTTTTTGGTCGTGTTGTCCTATCTATGCGCGTAAGCGCGATGCTACTACTCCTCCTCTCGGGCACAGTCCCGCGTCGACAGTGTTCTCACTGTGCTCGCTCCGCTCGCGCCGCCTCACCTTAGGCACACAAGAACATCTTGTACGCGCCATTATTCGTCTCCTCGACGACAGGGTACCCGAGTTCCTCGAGGAACGCGTCGAGCTGGCTGTGGTCCGCGTCGCCATTCGGCGGCGGCTGCAGCCCAACGAGCACCTTGCCGACATCAGCGCCGTGGTTCCTGTAATGGAACAGGGAGATGTTCCAGCCGGGCGTGAGCGAGCCGAGGAAGCGCGAGAGCGCGCCGGGGCGTTCGGGAAACTCGAACCGGAATATCCTCTCGTTGTCGACACGGCTGCGGCCGCCGACGAGATGGCGAATGTGGGACTTGGCAAACTCGTTCTCGCTCAGGTCCAGACTGTCTATGCCCAGGTCTTTCAGCTGTGACACGATCTCGCTGATTTCGCGCTGCCGGTCGCTGGGAGAAATGCCGCCTTCGGGACCGGATTTCGAGACGAGGTAGAAGGAACAGATGATCCAGCCGTGCTCGGGCTCGCTGTAGCGGTAGCTGAACTCGGTGACTGCGCGGGGGACGAGGATGTTGTGCAGCTTGACAAACGACCCAGGGCGCTCGGGCACCTTGAAGGCCATGAGGACCTCGCGGCCCTCGCCGATCTCGGCGCGCTCGGCGACAAACCGCAGACGCGAAAAGTTCATATTCCCCCCCGACACGACGGCGACGAAGCGCTTCCCGCTGCCCTGCAGGTTGTTCCGGATGACGTGGGCCTTCAGGCCCGCGAGCGCGAGCGCGCCAGAGGGTTCGGGGATCGAGCGCGTTTCTGCTTGTCAGCGGATACAGGGGAATGTGGCTCACCCTCAAACACGTCCTTGATGGCGGCACAGATCTCGTCGTTGTCGACGATGACGACGCCATCCAGCAGCTCCCGGCACACGCGGAAGGGTTCCTCGCCGACGAGGCGGACGGCCGTGCCGTCCGCAAAGGGGCCGACTTCGGGGAGGACGACGCGGTGTCCGGCCTTGAGGGACTTGTCCATCGCGTCGCCGTCGACCGTCTCAACGCCGTACACTGCGGTCCGGGGCGCGACGCGCTTCATATACGCCGCAATGCCGGCACAGAGGCCGCCGCCGCCGATCGAGCCAAAGACGCCGTCCAGCGCATCGGGGTCCGCGACCTGGCGGCAGATCTCCATCGCAATCGTGCCCTGGCCCGCGACGACGTAGGGATCGTCGTAGGGCGGGATGAACGTCAGCCCCTTCTCCTTCTCGAGACGCAGGCACTCGGCCTTGGCCGCGTCAAAGTCCTGCCCGTGCAGGACGACGTTGCCGCCCAGGCGCCGCACGTTGTTGACCTTGATCGAGGGGGTTGACAAGGGCATAACAACAGTGGCGGGGATACCGAGCGCCTTGCCGCTGAGCGCAACGCCCTGCGCGTGGTTCCCCGCCGAGCACGTCACGACACCCCGCGCCTTGTCCTCGGCGGACAGAGAGGCCATCATGTTGTACGCGCCCCGGATCTTGAACGAGAAGACCGGGTGCAGGTCCTCCCTCTTCAGCCAGATTTCGCAGCCAAGGCGCTTGGACAGGTTCACCGCGTGCGTGAGCGGCGTCTCCTGCAGGTTCAGAGGGGCAGTGTACACCTTAGCTTTGTGGGTCAGTAAGCTTTATCAAGATTAACACTCTCTCCCACTTACACATGAGGATCATGCGGAGGTAGTCCGGGACGTCCTGCCCGCCCTTGCCCTTCTCGAGGTACTGCCGCGGCAGCTTCTGGTACAGGTGCGCGGGGACGTCTTCGTCCTGCGCCTCGTCGTGGCCCGTAGACGCCTGCGGGGCAGTGGACGCGTACTCGATCGTCGTCGCCGTGACGGGGGAGCGGGAGAGCGAGTTCGAGTTCGGGCTCCGCGCAGAGGACAGCGTGGCCGAGCCGCTGCGCTCGCGCGGCGGGATGGCGACGGGGGTGGACATGGCGTTTGGCTCCTGATGTCCTCTGGTCTGTGGGTTGTTGGACTGGAGGATTGAGTGTGATGAGAGGTGAAGGAAAAGTCGGAGTCACAAGATAATCGGTAAAGTAAAGTTCAGGACGTCAGGAGACCGCTCGACCGGCTAAGAGCGGAGGACAGTTGCGGACGACTTTTCGACTCGGCCAGCTAAAGGACTCAGGCACGCGCAACACCCACCACCGGGGGATCGGCGTATTCAAGTCAACATGCATGAGGGGCATGCACAGGCCTTACACTTGGAACTGGACTCCGCGTTTGCTTACCGACGAGATGGCCAGACGGTCAACAGAGATCTTCGCTCTCCGTGCGAGAGCATGGCGGTAACGCAGCAACAACTGCAGTGGCAAGGCTGACCGCTGACCCGTTTTGGCCGATCACATCTGCCTTTGGCCGACTACCTCACCTGAAGAGCACTGCAGAGTGGTCGTCCAAAGCTGCTGCAACGTCGCGCACATCGCTTGTCTCATCACTATCAAGAGGCCACGCCCCATCGAGGGCCACTCTCATCTTCTTCTGCATTCCGCATCACGCTGACTCGGTGCGCTCTCTCTCACCATACACGCGCGGCAAGTCACGTCGAGATCTACTGCGTCAGCTTACGTAACGCTGCGATGTTGTCGCATCCACCCATTCCGCCTGGCCACCAACGTTGCACTCTAACCGGCGGCGTCAACGTGCTTTCAACCACCGACATTCAACTCCATCCCCACTCTCAACACCTCACACTCGCCGACACCGCACTGCACCTTCACCTTCACTGGCCATGGGCCCCGCTCTCAACGCCCTCACCCCAAAGGGCGCGCACTACCATGCCAGCCTCGGCGCAGCCCTCGTCCGCGGCGCCTGGGCAGACGCCAACCCGGGCACAACACCGAACGGCTCCCCTCTGTCCTGGAACGAGCTCATCCGTAAATGGGGAAAGCACACTGGCGGGAGTGAGTTGCCGCGTCGATTTCCATAACTGACGTCCAGATACCGAACTTGTGCATGCTGTCCGGAACGTGTCGCTGTCGTACCTCTCGAGCTCGTTTGTGATCCCGTATGCGCCGGAAGAGCGCCTTCAATTGCAGTCGCAGGAGACGGCGGTTGTTCCCAGCGGTGGCGTGTCTGGCGGCGGCGTGTCAGGAGCGGGCTCGTCTTCCTCTTACGTCCATGTGCAATCTAAGCCATCCGCACACCTTTCCGACGGCGATCTCGACGGGCCCGACGGCGCGGGACCAGACGCCTGGGCGACGCACGGCGTGTGGGGCTGGGTCGTCGATCAGCAGCATGCTCCCGATGTCCGGCAAGCACTCAAGGTGCTCGAGGCGCAGCGCAGCACCGCGCCGGGCAAGGACCAGCCGTCCGTCGCGCTGACGACGGCGTACGCGCTCGTGGCGCTGGGTGATTTTGACGGGGCGCTCAACATCCTCGATTCCTTTGCATGGGACAGCAAGCCGGACTTTGGAGTTGTCGACGGCGACGCGGCCGTCACGGAGAGGATTCGTGCGCGCGTTCTGCAGGGCATGTGCTACGAGATGGGCTCGCGGCCGGACACAAACCGCGCCATGCAGCTGTACCTCGACGCTGTCGCCATGACGGAGAGCCTGAGTGTGTCGCCGCTCGTGATGCCGACATACCTCGTTGCGAGCGGGAACGCCCCGAAACCGGCGATCCCGAACTTTGAGTCGCAGCGCGAGATCCTCCGCTGGGTCTCGCTCGCCCTCACGCGCTCCGCTGCCATGTGCGCGCACACGGGCAACAATGCGCTCACCCTGCGCATTCTTCGAACGTACCACGCGCTGTCGATCAACTGGGCGCCCAACTTCCGCGCACGCCAGCGACAGCGCATGCTCGACCTTTACGTGACGGCACTCGAGACGAGTTATCCCAGCTCTGGCGAGCAGGCGCCCGAGCCTTACATGCTGGCCGGGAGCACGCCGCCGCGGACAGCGCGCGTCATGTGGCGCGGCGAGGTGTCCGAGGCGCTGCGGTGCGGCCAGCGGCTGCTGAGCGAGACGACGTCCTTCCCCCGTGCGGGAGAGTACAACTCTGCCGTGGTCAGCTTTGCGAACCGCGCAGCGCAGTTCCCGGCACTCTCGCAGGCGCTTGCGCGCGACGCAGTCAACGTTCTCTGGTGGGCGACGTCGCTCACGTACCAATCGCAGAGCGTGCTGCGCAACCTTGGCCGTTTGCTGGAAGTCACCGGCGAGTTGAAGGAGGCGCGGCGCGTGTTCGAGCTCTACGTCCAGCTCGTGCTCAAGGCGCGCGAGACCGAGGATCCCGACAACCCCCTCACTTTGCAGCGGCACCCGACCGAGACGGACGAGGAAGTCACGAAGGAGGTAAAGGCGCTCGAGTCCGAGTCCTCCCACGACGAGTTCCAGGACGCCAAGGAGGACCTGAACGGCGTGGTCCGGAGCGAGGAGGGCGACGTCGACACGGACGACGAGATTGTGCAGGGCCTGAATACCGGCGCGCTCATGCTTTTGCGGCACTTCAACGATGCGGCTAATGCGTGGCGGTACGCGACGCTTGCGAGCGACGTGACGAAGCGCGGCAACGTCACGCCTCTGGTCACTTCAAAGGCGGAGGAGGTCAAGGGGATTATCCGGCTGTGCATGTCGAACAGCAGCGAGGCGGTCGGCACGGCGTCGCTGACGCTGAATGAGCGTGGAAAGCGGAAGCAGCTCCAAGTTCAGGCGATCAACCACCTCAAGGCGGCGACCATGCTGGACCCGAACAGCGTGTCGGCGTACTACCACCTGGCGTACGCGTACACGCAATCTAGACAGATCGACGATGCCCTGCAAGCCGTGCGACACGCACTCGAGCTGGACAGCAACGCCGTGCGGTGCTGGCACCTCCTTGCGCTGCTCATGACAGCAACGGGTGACTGGCAGGCGGCGCGCAAGGCGGCCGAGACGGGCGCGTCGCTCTGGGAGACGGACGACGAGACGGCCCTCGCCGACGAGGGCGACACGGCCTACGACGGGCAGCCCACCAAGGCGCAGCACGCCCTGCTCATGCCGAACGGCGACCTGACGCCGACGCCGGCGATTCCCGACGCGCGGCCAGGCAAGGACGAGCGCCTCAGTGCCATTCTGCAGTTACGCATGACGCTGAACACGATTGTGGAGAAGCTCGACGGCCCCGACGCGGCGCTGGTCAGGCAGCAGGAGCTGTTCAAGTTCTTCTCGTCGCGGACTGAGCCGCTGCGTCCCGCGTCTCAGGCATCGCCCGGTGTGGGTCTTGGGCCGGCGCTGAGCATTTCAGGCGGTACGATCAGTTCCCGCACCGGTGACCGGCCGACCTCGATGGACCTCGGGGGCAGCTACGTCCTGACGCCGCCTAATGACGTGCAGATCTCCCCGCCCTCGCCGCAACTCCAGCCCTCGACCCCCGGCACTCCTAACAGCAGTGCGGCAGAGAGCGTGGGCGTGTCAGACGAGGACAGGCGCGCGCACAAGCGCTCCCTCCTCCCGAAACACCTCCACGTGCCCTCCGTGGCTAGGGGCCACGGCAAACTCGGCAAGGGCACGCCGCACTCGTCCCCAGACAGCGCACTGGGGGAGCGGAACGCGTCGGCCTCGTCGCTGTCCATCGCGCCGACAGCGATCCACTCGCACTATCACTACAGGCAGGCGCGGGCCGCGCCGCCACCCCCGCCCCCGCTGCAGCGGAGCGGGCGCACGCCGGCCGAAGAGCGCATGCTGGCCGATTTGTGGCTGCAGAGTGCGGCGACGTTCAGAAGGAGTGGAAAGCTGGAACAGTGCCTCGTCGCGGTCGAGGAGGCCGAGGCGGGCGACCCGGCCAACCCTGCGATCTGGGTGCAATTGGGCGCGCTGCAGGAGGCGGAGCGGCGCCAGAACAATGCCCTCTCCGCGAGCGCAGCGAGCCCCCCCACCGCCCTCTCGCTCGCCCCGTCCTCGCCCACCTCGCCATCCTCCCCGACCTCAATCCCCCTGCAGAGCAACGGCAACGCGAATCCCGCCGCGACAGGCGTGAAGGACGGCCCCCTATCCTCCTATACCAAGGCGCTCCTCCTGCGGCCCGACTATCCCGCCGCGCTGGTGTGTATTGCGCGCCTACACGCCAACGCGGGAGACTACGACAATGCAAACAGTCTCCTGAACCAGCTCGTCCAGGACCAGGGGTGGGACTGTGCCGAGGCGTGGTATCTGCTCGGCTCGGTTGCTGAGCGGCAGGGACGCAGGGAGAAGGCGCGGGAGTATCTGAAGCGCGCGCTCGAGTTGCAGCAGAGCCGGAGTTGTCGGCCGCTCAATGAGGCGTTGGGGGTTTGGTAGCGCGAGCTGAGGGAGCGCAGCGAGCGCAAGCGAGCTCAGCGAGTTCTGCGAGTTCTGCTGTGTTCAGCGAGTTCTGCTGTGTTCTGGAACGGCAGGCGGGGTGAGGCGGGAGAGAGTCTGTAGAGTGTGTACTGCGTTATGACATTTCATGAGTGCTCCATCCTCCCGTGCCACTCCGGTCGGAGATGATTGCAGCCTGTTCACGCGGTTAGCCCTACCACAGTAGATGGCTGGTGATCTATTCTCTCCTATCCTCTGCAAATCAATCACACTACTTGCCACTAAGAAAGTCGAAGGCAAGAAAAAGAGAGTTGCATGATGATAAAAACCGGACAGCTAATCGAAGAAAAGGGGGAAAGGGAAGTAAAGGGAGCGAACCGAGCTGAGTTGGAGAGTTGGAGAGTTGGAAAGTTGTTGGTACAGTTACACGTTGTAATGTTGTTATGGGTATATGTATGTGGGAGAAGGAAATTATAAAGCGGCAAGAAGCAAGAAGCAAGAAGCCGAGGGGCGGATATGTGTGTTTGCACGTTTGCACGATGAGCTCGCTCGCGCCCGTCCTGCGCGTGCAACGGCGCGCGATGGACATCGAGGCTAGATGCTCGAGGGTCGAGGGTCGAGCACTGAGTGTCAGGCGCGTCGAGTGTCGAGGATCCCGAGCATGTGGCCAGCACTCGAGCATGTGGCGAGCACTCGAGCGAGGAACACGGTGCGAGTATCCACGCACGTTGCAAGTGCGAGAATGTGGCGGGACAGACAGAGTTGCGACCATGGAGTGGCCACAATACGAGCGAAGCGCCCTCACGCGCGGGCCGCCGCGCGCCGCTCGCCCTTGCCCGCCTTCCTCGCTTCGCTCGGAAGTGCTCGGAAGTGCTCGGAGGGCTCATTCCGCCCCCAGCTTCATTAACGCCTTCAAGCTCTTGGCCACGCCAAACGAGTAATTCGCAATCTCCTGTCGGGTCTGTTTATCAAACTGCTCGCCTCTCGAGGTCTCCTGCGCCTCGCTCAGTTTGTTTGTGTTCGCGACCAGGTCTCTTAACAACTCATCGCCCCTGACTCTCAGACTCGGCGGGATACAGTTCCGCGTCACGCCCACGATGCTCGAGCTGATCGCAATGACTTCGGACAGATGCTGGTTCAGCGTCTGGCCTTGATCGCCTGTCCTTATTGCCGCGAGGAGGGATTGGATGCTCGAGACCAAAGCTGAGGATTGCGTGTTCAGGTACGGCTTCACGTCGTCCCATTCCCGATCCCCGCCGCGCGAGCTGGTCTCCCGCCTATGCGCGGAGGAGGGCTGCCGCCGATGTCCTGAGGGTCCGGACGGGGATCGCTGATGCTGCCCTTGGCCGCCGGGGCCGCCCGGGGAGCTCGCATAGCTCCCTCCAGAAGCACTGCTCTGTTTCCGCTCGAGGTCAAAGGAGTCGGACCGCGTCGTGGCCGACTGGAAGCTGTTGATGCGCAGCTCCGGTTGCGCACTGAGCGTATGGAACGCGGGCGTCTCGTACTTTCCCCCGCCTAGGCTGCTCACGTTGTTGTGACCCAGGGGCTGGTTGCGCGACGCAGGCGACGCAGGCGACGCCTTGGGCGAGAGCGGCGCGTAGCCTGATCCGGGGCTCGAGCCGTTCGTGTACCCATTCACGCTGCCGTTGGCCCCGAAGCGGCCGGGACTCACACGGGGCGACATACCGCCGACCCCGCCTCCGCCTCCGTCGTTGCGCTCCTCGTTCTCGTCGAACGGCGTGCGGCGCACCATGTCCGCTATACTCATGCTTGCGCGCTTTTTCAGAATCTCGCGCATGGCGCCCGTGCGCCGGATCTTGAGCAGCTTGATGATCTCGACCACGTTGGCGGAGAGCGTGCCCGCTGCCGCGTCGATGAGGCCGACGGGCGAGAGACCCGAGGCCATGGCGTGGTTCCGCGCCGCCGTCATGAGCGCGCCGAGGCGCGTCGTGCTGTCGTGCTTCAGCGACTCGAGCTTGCTCACGTCCACGTCTAGATTCGGCTGGTCCTCAAACGCCTTGACGTCCTCGCCTATAGCCGTCACCGCCTCCACGATGGCCTTCATGGCGGGCAGGACGCCGGTGGGCTGGCTCGAGCGCGCGACCTGGAGCAGATTGTCGATCGCACTCTGGAACGCAGACACGTGCATGTCGGCAATGTTGCCGTCGGGAGAGGCCGGGAGGTGGTCCTCCGACATGGGCTGCGAGGTGAACATGACCGAGGTCGCCTTGAGGTTGCGCAGCTCGGTGCGCGCGGCCTGGAACTGTTTCCGCGACTCGGCGAGCTGCGCCTCGAGCGCAGAATACGCCTCGCGATGCCGCTCAGACGCGAGAACGAGGTCCTCGTTCTGCACGCTCAGCGCATTCAGCTCCTCGACGAGACTCTTCACCTCGCCCTGCAGCTCGGCGACGACGGCCTCGTCCGCCCCGCCCTGCCCGCAATTGGCGTGCTCGGTCTCGAGACGGCGCAGCTCGTCCTCCAGCGCCTCGGCGCGAGATCGCCACTCCCCCGCCTCGTCGCTCGCTGCCCGCGCCGAGGCGTCGGTCTGCTCGCGCAAAGCGGCGTGCGCATCCCTCGCCACGTCGAGCTCGTGCTGTATGCTGCGGAGCGAGGAAGCGTGTGTCGTCGCGCGCTCCTTTAGACCGCGCACCTCGTCCTCGTAGTCCTTGCGCCGCTCGCGCTCGTCCGCCAGTTGCCGGGACAGGTCCTCCTTCTCGCCCTCGAGCGTGTTGCACCGCCGCTCAAGCCCTGCAACGCGGAGCTCGTACTCCTTCCGGATCCGCTCCTCGGCGTCGCCGTCGATGGGCTTCGACCGCGATGTTGTGTTCGAGATGAAGCTGTCGCGCTCGTGCCATCCGGGACCGTTCTCCTCGGTCGTTCGCGGAGACACGACCTCGTCGCGCGAGTTTTTCCGGATGCTCACTGGCGTCTCGGTGCGGAAGCGGGTTGCGGGCGGCTCGTCGGCGGCCCCGTCGACGCTGTCCCGGGCGTAGGGGACCTCGATCGCCTCTTCGGTAATCGTGCTCTTGTTCGGGACGACAATGTCGCTCGTCGCCGCTGTTGGGGTCGCGAACCGCTTGGGCTCCTCCGCCTGCGCCCGGAGCACCTGGGCCATCTGGCCGCCGCCGCCAGAAGAGAGTCCGGAGCCCTTGCGGTCGTGGCTGAGGGCGGAGCGCGAGTCGGATCTTGGCGGGCCGCCGGTGGCAGACTGCGCATCGTCGCCGCCGTACAGCGAGGTGTCGTCGTCGAACTCGGGGTATCGCCGGCGGAGCTCGTAGAAGACGTCGGAAGCGAGGTCCTTGAACCGGTTCTTCGGCAGGGTCGCAAGCTTCTGCCGCGCCTGGTTCCGCTTTGGGTGAAAGTCGTCGCGCACAGGGAGGAACGGGGCTGAGGGCGCAATGTCAGCTTGCCTGCACGACGCGAACCAGCGGCCAATCTCCTCCTCCATGGTGTCGCTCTGGCAGCAGCCAGGTTGGGGAGCCTATCTCTAGGCATGAAAAGGTGTACTACACCAAAAACCGAGCTGCTTGCGAGGCCTAGAACGATCCACGCAGGTGCACGCAGGTGCTCTGCACGAGCCGTCGCCGGTGCCCCCCATCGCCCCGACAGTCGAGACAAATTCATGCCGCACACCGAAGCACAACTCACCTGCTCCTTCTGAACCTCCGCGCTCGACGCTTAGCCGTCGCATCAGTTCGTCGTACACATCCGTACTGAGTTCGAGGAATTGTAGCCGCGTCAGCCGGGTCAGCTTGTCTCGTGCCGAGGCGCGCGCAGTGGGCGATTCTGCTCTGTCAGCGTTGTTGTTCCTTCTTCGTTGTAGTAGAGCAGATCGCGATCGGCGTGCAGCTCGTTTCTGGGCCGTGCCGGCCGTGCGACGGCGCCGAGGGCGCTGGGGGCGTCGATATGGCGACAATGAAAAGCCTCAGAGACCCGAGAGCCGCATCGCACTGGACTGCGACCCACGCATGCCGGCGTCCGAGCCATCGTCGCAGATAGCTCAGTGCCCGCCAGTGCCCGCCAAGCTCGCCGAGCCTTCGCTGCAGCAGTACATGCTGCGGATGTGCAGCCCTCGCTGGTACTCACCCTTATCCGCCCACGCCGAGAGAAAGTCCTTGAGAGCCCTCCAGTGCACCCAGGCGGTATCCTTCGTGTCCTTCCTGTCCATGCGTTTGCCGCTGCCGCTTCGTCCTCGGAGCCGGGGGTCGGGCCGCGGGCCGTGCCCCCGTTCGAACCTCGGCGGACTGCTCGCGGGGCGCCTCCGTTGGCGACGGGCTGCATCTGCGGCTGAGGCATGCCGCCGTTCATCCCAGCGCCCATGCCGGCGCCGTTCATGTTCATGCCGCCGTTCATGCCCATGCCGGCGAGAGGCTTGTATTGCTGGGGTGCTCGCTGGTTCTGGAAGAATGCACCGGCGCTCGTTGTGCCCGGCCCGCCTTGGGCGTAGCGGGAGGCCATGTCGATATGTTACTGGTGTCGGAGTGTGGTGGTGACAGTGGTGTTATGGTGTGTTGTTGTTGTTGTTGTTGACGACGATGTGGTCGACTTTTGTTTTGTTTGCGTCTGCCGTCCGGCGAAGGGGAGGGGGCGAGAGAGAGAGTGTGAATTGGCTGGCTGAGAGGGAGCCGAGGACTGGATGAGGGGGAGTGATCGCAGCCTAAAGCGCTAAGGGGGGATTTGAAATGGCAATTGAATGTCAACGTAAGGGCAAGAGATGCAAGTTGAACGACGGTCGTGCGGTCGGAGAGGAGTGTGTGTGTGTGTGTGTGTGTGTGTGTGTGTGTGTGTGTGTGTGTGTGTGTGTGTGTGTGTGTGTGTGTGTGTGTGTGTGTGTGTGTGTGTGTGTGTGTGTGTGTGTGTGTGTGTGTGTGTGTGTGTGTGTGTGTGTGTGTGTGTGTGTGTGTGTGTGTGTGTGTGTGTGTGTGTGTGTGTGTGTGTGTGTGTGTGTGTGTGTGTGTGTGTGTGTGTGTGTGTGTGTGTGTGTGTGTGTGTGTGTGTGTGTGTGTGTGTGTGTGTGTGTGTGTGTGTGTGTGTGTGTGTGTGTGTGTGTGTGTGTGTGTGTGTGTGTGTGTGTGTGTGTGTGTGTGTGTGTGTGTGTGTGTGTGTGTGTGTGTGTGTGTGTGTGTGTGTGTGTGTGTGTGTGTGTGTGTGTGTGTGTGTGTGTGTGTGTGTGTGTGTGTGTGTGTGTGTGTGTGTGTGTGTGTGTGTGTGTGTGTGTGTGTGTGTGTGTGTGTTCGAAGTGAGAGAGGAAACTTGAGTAGCAGAGTATCAAGAAAGTCTGGGTGCGACGAGGAGGGATAGTGGGTATGGTGAGGGGAGAGAGTGTGCACGGATATTAGAGCTCACACTTGGCAGGATAGAGTGGGGAAGGAACTCCAGGGGAAGAGGTGAAAGACAAGGGGGGGAGTGTGTTGTTTGCCGGTTCATGGCTACGGTGGCTACGGTGGCTACGGTGGCTACGGTGAAGGGTGCCTGAGTGTGCTAGCGCGTTTGGCGTCTGGCTGCCACCTGTTTGTCCCTGATACCAGACTGCGCCGCGGGACCAATTGTCCTTTGCACTGTGCCGCTCTGGTGCGCGATAACGCACGACACGCGCAGTGAGACGCGTCAAAGGCTCTCTCAGCTCTCAGGCTGCGTCTCACCTGCCGTTCCTGCGACGAGGGCGCGTGCCGTGGTGTAAGGAGAGAGTGTTCTGGGTGACCACATGCTGCACCCGCTCATGAGCAATTCACTCATCTCTGTTCTAATCGACCGTTACACATAAAAGATGCACCGTGCGCACACTCTTAGTCCCATTCCAACTCGCTTCGGGGCACTTACTTGCGTTACACTCTATTCATCGTGAACTGACTTAGCGCAAACTATTATGCATCTCTCCTCCGCTTCTCCTCGGCCACTGTTGATATGGTGTGCACGGCCAAACATGTACTGCAGTGTCACCGGGCTTCACTGTGAAGCATGACTCTCTCCACATCGGCACACGAGAGACGAGCTCCATCGTCTCAGACCTCTGACCTTGTTTCACCTCGACCTCGTCCACCATAAAGTGTAGGGCGGGTTGCTCTCGCCCGACCACACAAAGGGCCCGATAAGAGCGCAGATGACACTCAGCTGCCTCACTTGTGCACAGTTCAATCACAGTCAGATCTGCGTCGTACCTGGCGTCCTCACGATGGAACACGGAACACCACATCAGAAAATGGCACACGCAACATGACCAGGGTTATCAGTCGTAGTCGTACATCACTTGCACAGAAGCTAGAACATCGGAGTAGATCCTGCTGTCATGCTGTCCAGCTCTACTGTTCTTCCTGCCCATCCCACCATCTTCATCCGCCAGCCTTGCGTTCTTCACGTTGAGAGACTAAAGGGCTATCCGTGGATCTCGGCGTCCATGCCAGCACCACCACTCCACCCCTCTCCTCCAAACAATCCCTTCCAGCTGCTTGGTTCCCGCAACTGGGCATCTGTTTCGTCAGCTCTTGCTATCCCGATGCCCCGAGCTCACCGATTCCAGCCATATCCAGCGTCCTAGCAGCAAGAGCGTGCGCATCACCCCGGTTATCTCCCTCGACGACCCAAGCGGCCAGCGCGCCGGCAGGCGTGCCCTGCTCTTTCAGAGCCGCCAGTGTCCTCCTCGTAAGACCAGCACCGGGGAGGAACGGAGGGTAGACGCCTTCCCTCTGTTGCTCCTGTGGGGGAGCACCCTCGAGCCGGAGGTTGAGGGCGGGAAGCTGCGCGAGACGCTCAAGGATTGGAGTAGATGCATCGCGCACGATGGCCTGGTGCGGGGTCCTGATCGTCAGTTCGTTCCCTTGAGCAGTGAACTGACAAGAGCTGTGCATCGTCCTGATTCGCAGCGTCGAGGGAGGCGAGAACGAGAACAGAGCCAAAGCTCTTCCCCGCCGCGGCGATGAGGGCGACGTGCTCATCCTTCTTCGTCTGAAGTGTTAGCTCGCCATATGCCGTCAGATCGTTAGAGCCATCGGTGCGCACCTTGAGGGTCGGAGAGCGCTGCAGCAGGACATAGACAGATCCTTGGTCACCATACACTGGAGTCAGCTTTGAGGGCGACCTGTAGAGCAGCTTACGTTCCAGACCGCCGGTCAAGATCCCGGCCTCGCTGTCATATCCGGCAAAGGGGGCTACTGTCTCGCCCGTACCGACGAAGGCAACACGCTTCAGACCCAGCGACGATACAAGCAAATCACCCGCGAGTTGGGGGACGTTGCCTAGTGATACGGAAGGCTGTTGTTAGCTATTAGATCGGGAACATTGGTGAGCTCATGATGAGGCGTGTGAGGCGAATGGGAGGTGACATGACACAGGGATGGAGGGAAGACAGTCTCGGCATGAGGAGGACAACGTTATCACTGAAGACAAGCGCCTAGTAAGACGGAAAGAGTGAACGACTCACCACAACCAGCACAGCATCCTTCAGCTTGCTTGTATCAAGCCCGTTCACGGGGTAGATGGGACCCGTCGACATAGTCGGTGAGAGGTTGATGGCAACAACAACACGAGACGCTGGCGTCATCTCGCAACGTCAACTTTGCGGTGGAGGCGGGCCTCCACTCGGGCTTCGAGTGGCACAACGCACACTCTCAGCGCTCCTCTCATGCTTCGATCGAACGGCTACGCCTCATTTTTTGTATGACCGTGAATGCATACTGGTTACTACGAAAGACTGTTTCTTGCTTCAGGTTTACTTCAGACTATAAATATACTTCGAGATGACGTGTTACAACAGACACGGCTCTACGACTTTTTCGTATAGTACTTTGATGGATGGGGTCGTAGAACCAGGTGACGAGGGCGATACAGACGTAGGCCATCATGAGGACGAATCCCTCGAGATACTGCGAGCGACCGTCGGCGATGGCAAAGTTGACGAGAATGATCGCGATCACAAGGACGATCGTCTCGTAGGTGTCAAACAGGAGCGACATGGGCTGCCCGATCATCCAACCGATGAGAACAAGAAGAGGAAGAATACCGAGCGAGACCTGGATCGAGGATCCAACCGCGATGCTCATGGACAAGTTGAGACGGTCCTTGAGCGAAACAGTGACAGCCGTGATGTGCTCGACGGCGTTACCGATGACAGGCAGAAGGATGAGACCGACGAACTCGCGCGAGACGCTGGTCGACTCGGTGAGACCGTCGATCGAGTCGACGAGACATTCGGCGGTGAGACCGGCGAGACCAGTGAACGTGATAAGCATACCGAAGGCGAAGATCGCCTTGGTACGAGGGTTCTCAGGAAGACCGGCCTCGACACGGTGGTGCTGAGCCTCAATGTCAAGTGTGTCAATGGTGGTCGCGGTGGAGAGGGGGTGCGTTGTCTCGCGGAAACGCAGGCTGGGGCTGGTGCGGGTCGCAGAAGCCGAGGAGTAGGCACGAGCGCGGCCAATGTCGAGCTCGGGAGGTGTCTGCTGGTTGTTCGCCAGGATGGAGGGCGACTGCACACCGGGCGAGGAGCTGCCAGAGTTGCGGTGGGGCTGCGCCACACCGTTGAGCTCAACGGTGGGAACCGAGAGGGTGTGCATGTGGCTGTCGTCTGAAGAGGCTTGGCTCTTGGTGTCCGTGTCACGCGAGATGACCGTGTGAAGGCTTGGCACCCACTGAGGGCGGGGGAAGACTCGCTGGTGAGAGGGCGTCGGGAGGGCGGAGACGGCGATCTCATCGCGCTGCTTGAAAAGGTATGCGTGCGTCCAGAGCGTGAACAGCAGGTACGCGACATAACAAGCAAGCAGGATGAAACTGAGACCGCGCGACATGGACAGGATGATGGCCATCTGCTCAGGGGGAATTTCCGCCGACTGGGCACTGGAACGAGCGGTCGACGTCGAGGGCCAGGCGAGGTGGTAGGCCTCGGGGAGCAGGATGGCGAAGACGGACAGGCCGAGGAGCGAAATCATCGTCTGCGCACCGACAACGCCGTAGACCTGCTCATGGAAACGGAGACCACCAGCAAAGTAACTCATACCCAAAACGAGCAGAATGTTACTGAGGATGGATCCGGCCATGGAGGCCTGGACGATGTCAATGTCACCCTTGACAAGCGCAAGGATGGCGACGAGAAGCTCGACGGCGTTTCCGAAAGTCGCGTTCAGGAGACCACCCCAGGTGTCACCACAACGGATGGCGAGCTCTTCGGTTGCGAAACCAAGACCACCGGCGAGAGGGACAATGGCGAGCAGCGAGACGACGAAGACGGCGACGGGGTTCTGATGACTGAAGTGCAGGCCCCATGCGACTGGAACGAGTGCAGGGGTGATCCAGAGGATGGGAACACCACGCATCATATTCTTGAAAGATTGCCAGTACGTTGGGTCCTCCCACTTCACGGGGGCCTCGCCATCGTCGCCATGGTGGGGTTCGAAGGTGTCAACAGACGCGTTCGAATTGTTGCCACCTTCAGGGACGCGCTTGACGTTCGCATCGTGAGTGGCGAAGTCGTGGCGTTGGAGGTTGGGTTGAGAGAGGTCAGCATGCTCGTAGACGGTGACATGCTCCGTCTTCTCGTCGAGGAGGGCGGTGGGGTCGAGGTGGTGCTGGGGGAGGGGCGCGGGGAGGTCGTGTGCGATTACAGTGCGATCATTGGAGTTGTCGATAGATGAGTGGGTAAAGCCACGTATATCGGGTTCGGGCTCGTCGATGGAAACAGGAGGGTTGGCCATTCGAAGTAGGGGTCCTAGTAGAGTCGGTACTAGAGCGCAAGCGGTGTGAGAGGGGAAAGAGAGATGTGGTTGGAGGCACTGGATTGCTTAAGAGCACTTGGCAGGAGGTGGTGCACGCGGGAGCAATGTCTTGGCTGTACGCCCCACCGTACGACACATGCGTCAGCACAGCCGCGGTACCCGTGGGTACGGCGGGTGGCCTGGTGGGTACGGTGGCCGGCGTCGCTTTGGTCGGCAATGTGAGACTGAAAGGGTCTTTGCGGGTCAAGGGACAGGGGCAACCCGACGTCAGGTGAGCACCAAGAGCCGCAGAGCCGCAGAGCCGAGAGCGAGAGCCGGCGCCAAACCGGAATGCTGAGCCGTGGAGACGGTCAAAGCGGCGCGCGCGGTGCTCTGCTTGGCTGCTTGTACGGTGAGAAGCGATGGCGGCCTGGCCCATCGAGCCTGTGGAGTGGCGCGGAAGTAGATCTTCCCCCGCAGAAAGGCGCAGATGACTGTATGCGACACCCTGCATTAATGAGCCGACTTCCCTGGTGGTCCAGACAGCCAAGGCGAATCGGCTGCGCTCCAGCACGCACGTTGACGTGACGCTGGCATTCTCGCATGGCATTTGCGCATCTTCGGCGAGAGCGCGAGAGGGAAAGGAGGTTCGCTACGGGGGCATCCGCCAACCGCATGGCCACGATAAGGCATGAGGAGCAAGGCCGGGGCGCTGACGAGGAGATTGTCAGTAAGGGTTCCGGCTGCCGGGGTGAAGGGAAAAACGGAAGCAAACAAAGGGTAGAGGCGCAACTGCACAGCATGTCGCTTCTACGGTGAGTGACCCGATGACCCCGCATGACGTCGCGACACCCTGGAGCCGCCAAGCCACCCAATGTCGTCCCTCTGTCGGCTCTGGCCGATTGCGCCATGTGCTCCCTGATAGGTCTGTATTACGTAACCTGCTTCGTCAGCTACGGCTGTGCTCTGCTGAGTTGTAAACCGTAGTTGAACGCTCGGAGCTTCGAGATCCTCCTAGTCTCCGGCGGCCGCCACGATCAGAGCTACGGGTAGCCGCGATTACTGCGATCTCAGTGGCAAACGAGCCATCGCAGTTTGTGCGACAATGGTGTCGCTGGTCATGAGGACGAAGATATGTGGCTGGCATTGGGTGCATTGGCGGTCATGTGCTGAAAACCCATGCGTCGGGGAACGAGAAGTGACAAGTAGCCTCGGACTGTGCAAAACATTGACGCATCTGCGCCACCGAACCGACTCTAATCGGTCCACGTACCGCGGGTCTTGCAGCTGACGGCGCAACGGACAAGTGGAGCCCGCAGCAGCAGCAGCCGACGCATTCGCGCAGCGGACGACGGCCACCATCTGACAATGCGCGCAGCTCAAACATGAGACATCCTGACCCAGATCACGCGCGGCTGGCAGCCAGCGGACCCAGCTAACACACAGACCGTACCTGGGCTAGCTGGGGGCGCACATAGGGCCACAGGGTGCGACCTCCACTTATCGCACGCTAAGACGCGACTGATCTTGCGCCAACGCGCCTCTCCACCACCTCGACTACCACCTTTCGATGTCTTCCTCCATCTCCAGGGCCTCTCCCGACACTTCTCAGACACTCACAGGCAGCGTAGACCCCTCAAAAAGGTTTCATCCTCCGCCAACAGGACTCGAACCTGCACTCCAGAATGGATTTGCAGCTTAAATGCAACGCGTCTACCATTTCGCCATGGCGGAGGTGATGACCGGCCCAAAACGAGCCGCGAGGGGCTGTCCCGGCTCTCTGCGCACTCTACAGCCCTTCCTGTCAGCTTTAGCTAATTCCACGCAACGAGATCTACCTGTGCATATGCTTAAAGTCGAGGAGAATGCCCAGATGAGCATGCACGACAGTTAAAAGTGGCAGGAAGCGCTTATCTCTCGAGATCGGCGCAACGCAAATCACGACTCCTGCTCGAGTCAGAGAGCTCAGAGATGCATGGAAAGCATGACTCGAACTCTCCAGTCTATGCAGGTACAGCCTGATGCTAGAGTACCATTCGAGTCGAGCATCGCGCGCCGGACCTCGGCAGATCGCAGTCTAGATCGATTTGCCACCCACCGCTCGCAATCGAACATGAGGTGAGGTGTGCATTTTGCCACCCGGAAGCAAATTTGGGTGGTCGCTCCCACGTTTGCGGACAATGGTAGCAGTCAGCAGCCCTAGGCACCGAACCGTCTTTCCCCGCGTTCCCCATCTGCCTCCACCCGCTGAGAACCGGCTGTACCCACCACTGCGTACCGCGCTACACGCACATCCAAGGTTAGAGACAAACGCTACATGCGCTGTCTCCAGATTGTCGACTCGACAACAACTCAACCCGATCGCCTGGCGTCCACCACCTCCCCCGCTGCCTCGACCTGTCTCTCCCTTAAGAGGTCAGGTCCACTTTACTGCCCAACCTGTTCCGCCTCGCGCTCTCTCCATCCGCACCGTTGCTATCACGCAGCGCAGCATTACGCGCGCAACCACCACCACAAGCATCGACCATCATGACGGCCCTCAGATCCTTTCAGGCCGAGATCGAGCAGTTCTCGCAGGAGAGACAACGACAAGCAATCAGAGAAGCCCGCGAGGCTCACGCCGCCGCCGAGGCGGCCAAGCACCACCACAAGGTCAAGCAGCACGACGTCGTGGTCAGCGTCGTCGAGGACCGTGACACGGACGCGGTTTCAGCAGAGAACATCAGCGTCGAGGTACGTGTTTCACATTTAAGCGATCCTTCTGACAATCCAACAGGAGGCGCTCTTTGACGCCGACGACGAGGCGCTCAAGTCAAGATTAGTGTCGAAGCTGCTGCAGGACCACGGCGAGTACATCGTGGCTCTCGGCGCGCACGCCATTACCGAGGAAGGCGAGGTCAAGGGTACGCCAATCACGAAGGAGCAACTCGACAAGGCTGTCGAGCGATTACGAACAACATGCGCCGCCATCAAGGCGGAGATGACTGAGCTCTACCGCAACGACGCCAAGGACGGTCCTTTCGGCACCTGGCTTGTGCGCCTGCGCCCAGCGAGCGTGGAGGAGGTGCAGGAGGTGCGCGTTGCGGTCGTCGGCAACGTCGATGCGGGGAAGAGCACGATCCTCGGTGTCCTGACAAGAGGCGGCCTCGATGACGGTCGCGGAAAGGCACGTGTTGCCCTCTTCAAGCACCCGCATGAGGTGGAGACGGGCCGCACATCCTCCATTGGAGGCGAGATTCTCGGATTCACGACTGAGGGCAAGCCAATATACCCTTCGACACCGGCCATTGCGGACTCTGTGAAGCGCGAGAAGCTTGCTTGGGACGAGATCTACAAGCAAGCCGCAAAGGTCGTGTCTTTCATTGACCTCGCGGGCCACGAGCGCTACTTCAAGACCACGGTGTTCGGCCTCTCGGGACACGCTCCCGACTACGTCATGCTTATTGTGGGAGGGAATGCTGGTCTGATCGGAATGTCCAAGGAGCATCTTGGCGTAGCTCTCGCTCTGAACGTTCCAATCATTGTCTGTGTGACCAAGGTGAGCTGCGGGGTCCTCCTCAGTATTAGCTAACAACAGACCGACATGACACCACCCAATATCATGGAGCAGACGGTGTCCATGTTGAAGAGAGTTCTCCAGAGCCCGGGATGTCGTAAGACGCCAGTCTTCGTCGAGAACGAGCAACAGGCGATCGACTGCGCGCTTGACATGACAAGAAATCGGTCATCCAAGATTTGTCCCGTCTTCATGCTCTCGAACGTGACGGGCGACAACTTGCCGAATCTGCGCAGCTTCCTGAACATTCTTCCCTCGTCGCAGAATAACGAGAAGTATGTAACTGACGCGCCGTTCGAGCTGCACATCAGCGACGCGTTCTCGGTGCCCTTCATCGGCACGGTCGTGTCTGGCGTCATTGAGTCTGGCGTTGTCAAGCCCAACGACCAAGTGCTCGTCGGCCCCGACTCGCTCGGTCACTTCATCCCCACAGCCATCAGGAGTATCGAGAAAAAGCGCGTCAAGGTCGACTCGGCTGAAGCTGGTCAATGCGTTGCGTGAGTTGATCGAAGTTGTTTGTGAAACTGACGCCCAGTCTCGCGCTCAAGCGCATCCGCCGCAGCCAAGTGCGTAAGGGCATGGTGCTCATGGCCAAGACCGAGATTCATCCCATGGCCGTGAAGCGCTTCGAGGGCATGGTCATGGTGCTGCACCACAGCTCGACAATTCAGCCACGCTACACTGCGATGCTTCACTGCGGCGCAGTGCGCGCGTCGACGCAGATTGTCAGCCTCGACCACCCGTCTGGCCTCATCAGGACTGGCGACCGCGCAAAGGTCGTGTTCGAGTTCATCGGCCAGGCCGAGTTTGTCAAGGAGGGGCAGCTCATCCTCCTCCGCGAAGCCAAGACGAAGGTCCTCGGCGTTGTGACCAAGGTGCTCGACTGAGCTCGGCTGGGCGAGCATGCCACCTCTTGTAGCAGATAGACACGATGTCAACTTGTTTTATACACGTGTGCGGGTGCAGGGCGTGACGACTCTGCGAGTGACGAGATATATACATCATTGTAGAGTCAGTCACCCTATGGTAGAGCTGGCACATGCATCAAGGGGCTGAGACCACGCAGCCTGGGTTGGTGCGAGGTGCAGGCGGGGCCTCGAGTGCTGGCGCAAGGCTTGCGCCAGGCGCAGCGTTGGCGGAAACAAAACGCCACCATTGGGATCGTCACGTACGTCACCACCTGGACTAAGTGCGGCACGACGGTACGCCGGAGGGAGGGCCCAGGAACAAGCAGCGATGGATTGGAGTGGGACTTGGAATTTGGCCACCCAATCTTCCACACAAGGAAGGAAGCACAAGGCGACCACACACACATTCGAAACGCAAACATCCGACCGTCACTCAATCCTTCCTACATTCTCGACTCTGTCTTCCTCGCCTTCTGACAAGACGAACCCTTCACCAATCCACACCTTCACTTTCCTCTTCTTCTCTTCACCCCTCACAATCCACGCTCATCATTGACTACTTCAACAAGAACCACAGGATGGCGGAAGATTCCCCCGACATCCGGCCCTCGACGCCCAACTGGAACGGCGCCGATACACCAGAGCGCCCCTCGCTCAGCCGCACGAGTAGCTCACTCTCTGGCATCTTGAGCAAGGGAGCAGAACGCGTCGGCGAGGATTGGGCCGAGGGCCCACTCCTCCTCCTTGGTGAGTTCCGGGCCTCCTCCGCGGCGAACTGACAGACAGATGTCGTCGAGACCTTCTTCGGTGAGTGCGAGTGTGATGGGCTAGAAGCAGAAGGCGCCGATCGCGGCCACGTCACCGTCAATGTACGAGGGCACAAGATGTCGGAGTAACGTTGGTTCCAGTTACACGTTCTGCGTCCCAGCGCCTTGAACCATACGGCACCAGAGGCAATGCTTTGTTCCGCCTCATCAGCTGAGAAGTATTTGCACAAGCTGACACCAGACTCCCGCCTTGATCTCTGGGAGCGCAAGCTGAAAGAGTCGTCCAAGAAGCTGCGTCAGAAGGCGGGGTCGATGATCCCGCGCGGCCTGCGCACGCCAAAGGGCTCGATGCTGCTGCTCGACGATGACGACGACACCCACCTCTCGACGCGGGACAAGGACGCCAAGCGCAAGATGCTCACGACCGTGTACCGGCAGGACGTTGAGCGCGAGGTGAACCGCGTCAAGAGCATTCTGAACTCGAAGATCAATGCGGCGAGCGCAAAGTGGAAGAGCGCCAAAGTCGTCAGGACAAGGGAGAAGGTTTGTGAGTAGCTACTCATACAAAGGTGCAGAAGCTGATCGGTGCAGCATTCGAGTTTGGCGTCCTCACCGTCGCGTTCACGGGCTTCCTCCTCGGTCGTGCGCCGGAATGGATCCCCTTCGCGTACACTGTCCAGGTCGCTTTCCACCTCGCTATCCGCGCGTACACGTATAAGAAGAAGGAGTGGCACTACTTCCTGTTTGGTGAGTACAGCTACTCGCGGAAGTGTTTAGCTGACAGTACAGAGTGCGTATATCGGGACGTAGTGGCGATTACTGACCGCGCAGTATGTGTTACTTTGTCAACGTTCTGGACCTCATGTTCCTCTGGATCTGGCCTGGCTCGACCTACCTGTTCATCTGCTGTTACCTCCTGACCATGGGTGAGCTGATTCGCGGGATCTTGAACAAGCTGACCTTCAGGTCCCCTCGCTTCTGCCGTCATCACTTGGCGCAACTCGCTCGTCTTCCACTCGCTCGACAAGGTGACCTCGCTCTTCATTCACATCTACCCGCCGATCGTCTTCACCGACATCCTGTTCACGTACCGCGGCGCAAACATCCGGTATCCTGCGCTGAACGGACTGGACAACTACACGTGGTGGCAGAAGGTGCTCTGCGCGGCGGTGCCGTACTGCATCTGGCAGGGCTTGTACTGGAAGTTCATCTTTGTTGACCGCAAGGACAAGATTGAGAGCGGCGCCCGCCAGTCGAGCTTCAACTACCTCCTGAACGACAAGCATGGTCCCATCGGCCGCGCCCTCCGCGCCGTCAAGCCCGCGCACCGCGAACTGTGGTTCATCTTTGGCCAGTTTGGTGAGTGTGGTCCTTTGCCGACACAGCTTTCTCTCCCGTCGCTAGCTAACATCCCAGTGTACAGCATCATCTTCATGATCCCGGCAGCCACGATCCTGATGCACTCGCACACGGCGTCAGACCTCGTGATTATCCTCCTCTTCGTGGTCGCGGTCTGGAACGGCGGCAACTTCTACGTCGAGGTCTTCGGCCGCAAGTTCGAGAAGGAGCTCAACGTGCTCCAGCGCGAGATGGAGGCGCTCACGCAAACCATTGCCTCCACGCCCTCCACGCCACACACGGATATGACCGCAGACAGCGCGGCACACGACCCGCGCCCCGCCGCAACTGTTGGTTCGGGATCGGGTTCGCGCGACGCCGACGCGGACGCGGACGCCGACACAGCGGACGTCGGCACGCCGATCGACTATGACGCCAAGCCGAAACATGCCGCGCACGCGGACCGCGTCGACCAGGAGGTGAAGCAGCGCAAGGGCACGGGACTCGAGAACTCGCCCCTCGTCCTCCCGCAGGCGGAGACGAGCGAGCCGCCAGAGATCAAGCTGGACGGGAAGAAGGAGGTGTAGCCTGGCTACTAGTTCATCCTTCCTCCCTCCCTCTGAAAATTTAGACCTTTTCCCACATAACCAAACCCCGAGTTCGTTATACCGTAGCCTAATGATATATCTGTGCTGGCATGCAGCGATGCAGCGTAAGGAACAGTGGCACAAGGCACAAATGGCATAGGAATACAAATCACAACACATACAGACCACTATCCAAACTCGCGCTCTCGCTCACTTCCAGACCTTTCCGAGCCTCGCGCGCTCTGTCTCCACTCTCCGGGCTTTGGCGTTGCTAGCTGCCGTGCCGGAGAGCAAGCGGCTCTGACTCGGCGTCATGCCGGGCGCCACCCCCTTGCCACTGTCACTCGCGCCACTCGCGCCGCTTGCGACACTCGCGACACTCGCAACACTCCCCGTCGAGCTCCGCCCACTAGCGCCACCCTGCGCGCCCCGCCCGCCAAGCCCGCCGAGTCCGCCGACGCCGAGCGTACAGAGTCCCTCAACGACCCCGTCATCGTGAAGCTCTTGCGAATGCCCGCCGCTTCAAGGGTCGGCTTCCGGGCCGAGTCGGGGGTACGCTTCACGGCGCGGATGCCGGCGGACACGGGCGGCTTGGATTTTGACGTCGGATTTGCGGGCTTGGCGGTCTTCTTGCGCGGGCGGTCGGATGAGGTCTTGCGCAGCGTCACGCCCGCTTTGAGCAGGCGCGCGCCGCCCAGCATTGGCGTCTCGCCAGAGGCGCTGCCGGCGCTGCCGGCGTTGCTGGCGTTGCTGGCGTTTGCCTTCTCCCCGCCCTCGGACAGGATCTTCTCGGCTGGCGGGGTGCGTTTCACGGTCTGGCTCGAGCTCGGGCCCGCTTCCGCGGAGATCGGAGGCGTGGTCGAGGATGATGAGGAAGGCGCGGAGGAAACGGCAGAGGGCGCAGTGGATTCTGGGGTGATGACGGTCGAGCATGCTTTCGCATGGTGCTGCTTCTCAACGACGAGGCGCTGGAGACTTGGCCGCGGGCGTTTCTTGACGTGTCGCTTGCGATGGGGCGATAACGGGCTCGGCTTGCTAGGCCTGTGTTCGTGGCCCACTGGCTCGTCGTCATCGCTGTCCTCGTCCGCCTTGCGCTTGGCCTCCTCCTCCCGCTCTGCCTCTCTCTCCCGCATCGCGCGCTCAATCTCCTCCGCCCGGCGCTCCTCAAACGTACGCCTTGCTTCCTCGAGACCGAGACGTTCTTCGGCAACCGAGAGTTGTGCGCGCGTCAGCTCGTCGCGCTCCGCGTCCAGGAGACGTTTCTGCCTCACGAGCTCGTCGCGCAGTTTCTGGTCTGCAAAGTCTGTTGTCGAGGGCACTGAGGCGGCGGCATTCGTACGCGCCATTTCCTCGACGACCTTCTGCGCTTCTTCCTCCTTTGCGCGAGCAATGCCAACTTCGACCTCGAGATCCTTCACGCGGTCGCGCAGGTCGGCTTCCCGACGTTGGCGTTCCCTCTCCCTCGCTGCCGCCTCGGGGTCTTCCTCCTCCGCAACGACTGCGGAGGGCGCGGGACCCTCCATCAGCCGCTCGCGCACGTCCTCGAGCAGCCGTTTCAGCTTGATATCGGCGATGCTCGGGTGGGCCGTCCAGCTGGAAGCCTGGCCATGTCGGGTGGACATCTCGAAGAACTCGGCGAGGAGGATGCGGTCAACGTCCCGACCCTCTGACCAAGCCAGCGCCTCATTCAGCCCGTTCGCGATACCGACTATGACGTGACGGAACGCCTCGGCTTCCTCGGTCGCACTCTGCCGGAGTGCGTCCAGGTCCCGGATCCCATTCTCGAGCAGAGGCAGAGGACCAGGCGCAGCTGGTGCCGTAGTCCCCGGCGCGATCGGATTCAGGAGCGTAAAGTTGGGCAGCTGGTGTCGCGGAGCAGCTGTCAGCTTGTCGAGCTTGATCTGCTGCCGCTTCGTTTCTTGCTGAGCCGCCGTGCGGAGTGTCTCGAGATTACGCTTCCCGCGGTCGATCTCGTGCCGCAGCTTGGCCGACTCACGCTCCTCGGCAGACGCCTTACGTTCCGCCTCCGCTGCGCGAGACTTTTGGTGCTCGACGTCATGTTCTAGCTTCGAGATTGACTTTGCTTGTCGCTCGACCTTTTCGGACAGACACTCCCACTCGAACTGCAGCGAGCGATGGCGGGCAGAGAGGTCCTCGAGTCGGTTCAGGTTGTTCTGTGCGTCAGCTATGGAAGGGCATATGGAAGCTCGGCGGAGGGAAGGGTGGGATGTGGGGGAAGAGCAACTAATCCCAATAGTCTGAAGGAAATGAGGGCCGGCGCTCACCACATTCGCGCCGAGCAACTCGACAATGACGCTGGTGACGTTGATTTGTTCCGCATCAGTGAGGTTGTCGAGGCGCAGCGGGCGCTTCGCGAACCCGTGGGCGAGGAGTTGCGTGTTGAGGCTTGAGACGGAGTGAACCTTCAGTGGGCTTAGGGGTGGTGAGTCCGCCATGCTGTCGTGGTGATGCACAAGTGCAGGTCGAACCCGTTTGAGGATGATGGGTTCGAAGGGATTGTTTACATTTCGGACGGGCGTTCCTGGCATGGAGGCCAATGGTTTACGTAAGGGATGCTTGGGCGTGATTAGGATGAAGCTATTCACCAGTGTAATGAACACCGTATTGAGTTGCGATTATGCGGTAAATCGAGCTGGGCTCGATCGGGTGGCGCACACACAGCTTGGCCGCGCAAAGAAGACCCACGACGTCCGCATCTTCCAGTTCTCTGCATCGCATTGGCTCCCCTTGCGTTGACTTTCTGGCTTGATAACTAGGCATATCGCTCACAGAGGAGCGCGCGATGCAATAGCCTAAGACCATTGTGCTGATGGCGAGCTCGGTCTGCGTGATTGCGCTGACGAAGCGACTTACGTAAACGTCATGTTGGCAGCCGACGTGGATCGGGGCCATGAGCGCCCCGCAGTGTCCGGCTAGCGTGGTCGTTCTTCGGAGTGAGCATTCCCGTTATCTTCTTCTGCAACATCACTCCTTCCCACCTTCTTCCCTCACGACTTCACACGGACACTTCGCCCACCCGCGACCTGCCCAAAATGCAGCCCGAGGCGTCTGCGCCCGACCCCAGCGCCGTTGGGGCTTCATCGCCACCCCTCACTCCTTTCCGACACCCGCAGCCGCTTACGGCCGCCGACGGCGAGGACCGCCTCCGCCTCCGCCGCAAGCTCAGTCCGAGCATGATTAGCCTGCATATCAAAACGCCGTACGCAGAGCTCGGCGCCAGCACCCCCATCTCATGGGAAGTGCCGACGACCATGTCGGTGGGAGCGGCGAAAGACGCTCTCGCAGACGGATCGGCAGGCTTCGGCGCATGGGAGCGCGATGGGATGCGCCTAATCTGTCGGGGTCGAATGCTCGAGGACTTTGAGATACTCGGCCGCGCGCTGCCCAAGGGCGAGACACCCACGCTGCACCTCGTCGCCCGCCCGCAGAAGAACGCTGCCCCCTCCCCTCCGGCTTCTGTGCCCGCTGTCTCGGACGCCCCGACTAGAACCGCTTCGCCACCTGCCCCTCAGCCGTCTGCCACTGCCGCTGCGCTGGCTGACACTGTACACTACCTCCTGTTCGCTGCGCGTGAACACCTCTGCGCATTGCTCGGACAGCAAAACATCGCCTGGGACGACATGCACCCCGCCCCGACTGTCGAGCGCCGAGTCGCACGAGAAGCTGTCGCAAGCGTCCTTCGCTCAATGGCTCCCGGCTCTGGCTGGGAGGCAGTGCTAGAAGGCGACGACGGCGATCTGCGTGCGGTCTGGACCGGTCTTGGCGAGAAGGGCGTGCGTTCCGAGATTGAATCGCTGTGGAAAACGGCGACTGGTCGACCCTATGCCGCTGAGGGCGATTCCACGCCTGTTGAGTTTGACGAGAAGACCGTCACTCTGAACCTGCCTTCATCGGGCATGGTTCCGTCGCAGTTGACGCATCTCCTCCTCTATCTGCGCCTGACCGTGCTTCTCCCGCATCTGACCGACTCGCTCCAGGCCGCCCAGTCGCCCTCCACCACGACTGCGCTGCCTTCATACTCGCAACGGGTCAACCAGTCCCCTGTCCGTGTGCGCGTCATCTACCGGCCGGCGCCAGGCGTCGGTACGCTCCTGCAGAGCATCTCGTCGACTTTGCTCGTGCACGCCTTCTGGTCCGCGTTCCGCATCCTTCTCATCATCTTCATGCAACCTGCCCTGGACCGACACAAATCTCTGGCTTATGCTCGCAGCCGGCGGCGCCTGGTGGGTCTTTGACACCTACTCTCACTGGGCCGTCGAGCGGCGCGCCGAGCGGATCCGGCAACCAACGTGCCGAGCGTGCGCTGGAGCAGCGCGAGGGTCGCCGCCGTCGTCGGGACCGCGACGACGTCGTCGTGCGCGAGTACGGCGCCGACGGCGAGATCCAACCGGAGCGTGAGCGTGAGCCCCGACGAGAGCGCGAACGGGAGCGTGAGCGCCGTCGAGGCGGCGCAGGAGCGAGACGCCAAGCGCCCGCCCCGCCGCGCGAGAGCGATTGGGTCCGCCTCCCGCTCTACCATCTCGATGTGGATAACCGGCAACTGCGCCTGCCTCCGAGCGCGCTCGAGATTCCGCAAGGAGCGAACGGCATGCCCGGCCCGACGCCTGTGCCCGACCTGCGCCGCGCGCCCGCGACCCAGCCGGGATGGTTCAAGACACACATCCTCCTGCCACTGTATCTCTGGTTCCTGACGCTTATTCCGGACTTTGAGGTGCGGCGCGCTCGCGCAATCAGGCAGAGGGAACGGGCCATCCGCGCGCTGGTCAATGAGCGCCGCGGCCAGTCTGCGAATGTGCCGGAAGGGCAGAGCGCAGAGACGCAGAGCCAGTGGCTGCCTGATGGTATCTCGCCCACGGCCAAGAGGTACTATGAGCGCGTCATTGCGCGCCCCGAGTCGATCGACTGGGACGAGGAGCGCGAGGCGCAGCGCGCCATGGACCTGCCTGATGAGGAGGAGCAGGAGGAGCGCTTCGCCATGTTGTAATTGACCTTTTCATGTTGTACACACGTACTGAGGCACGCGCTGTTACACCTAGCGACGGCCCAGTCGAACGAAACGCAGGCGATAGAATCCCCGCCTTATTTACATAGTATATGAGTATCATATCTAGAGCTTTTCCATGCACTGGAGAGAAACCTGACGTGTTTGCTGCAGCAAGATGGAAGTATTGATGGTCGGGTTCATTTGCACACACTACATGGTCTACACACAGTCTAGCTCTTGTTCTCGTTCTGTATCTGGTGTTGGTGCTGCTCGCGCAGCGGATTAGGTCTGGTAGTCGCGGAACTCCTTCCACTGGTCCATCTTGAGGAGTCCGCCGACAAACTGGTGGAACACGGGCGCCTGCGCGGGCGTGCTCATGTTGTACAGCGGAATGGCGGTGCGGAGCGTCGAGCGCTGCATCTCCTCTTGTCCTGTCAGCTAACGCGCAATATTCAGCAGCTTACCTTTGCGCTCGAGGTCCTGCTTGATGGTGTCATCCTTGACTTCGAGGTCCTTCATGATAGTCTTGAGCGACTCGGCGGCCTCGTCGAGCTTGGGAATGACGGCGGCGGGGGCCAGGTTCGCGAGACGAAGGAGGAGCATGAGTCCGAGGCTCTTAATTTCGTTGACATCCCGCAAGGCGGCCATGACACGCTCGGTGAACGCGGGCACGTCAATCTTGTTGAAGCAGCTCGCGAGCATCGTGTACATGGCCTCGTAGGCGGTCTTGCGGTTCTCCAGTCCGTCGTCCTCGATCACCTTGAAGGGTCCCATCTGCACCTCGCGCTGCAGCTCCGGCTTGATCTCCGTCTCACGGTAAAGGTAGGGCTGCAGCTGGCCCAGCTTGTCGATGACGAGGTACGGCTTGTTCTGAGCCGCAGCATTGAGCGCTGCAACAGCCAGGCGGCGGACGACAAGATCCTCGTCCGCCATCAAGGTCAGACAGTCATTCACAATGGGCGCAATGATCTCGTTCGACGCACTGCTCGAGTCGATGAGCGTGTACCGGATAGACGCAGCGACGAGGGCGCGCTGTTGAGGGGTAGACTGCAGCATCGTCTGCAGCTGCGGGATGAACCGTCCGGGCGTAACGGCGGTCAGTTTGCCAATGCACGCCGCCTTGATGTTCCTAATACCATCGTCGCTGACGGCGGCGGCCGCGTTGCTGGCGGCCACATCGCCGAAGAGAGGGCCCCAAAGAATGTCGGTCAGCTTCTCGAGCTCGGCGGGCGAAGAGTTGAGAATGACCTCCTTGAGCGCGTAGAGCAGGAGCGAGCGACCAGCCTCGTCCTTGGCGTTCTGGATCTGCTGAATGAGCTGCGGGAGCAACGTCTCGGGCGAGCCGGCAGCCATGTTACCAGCGGCGAATGCTGCAGCCGTGCGGACCTCCTCGCTCTCATTGTTGAAGAACTTGAGCACGTCGGCGAACAGCGTACCGTTGCCGCAGAGGTCCTCCTCGCGGCCAATCTCGCCGATAGAGAGAAGGGCCAGGTACAGCTCGGGCGTGGAAGCCGACTTGGACTCGAGCGTCTTCTGGAACGTGGCGAGGATGCCAGACGTGTTACGCTGGCTGGTTGCGACCACGGCACCAATGCACTTGGCTGTCGTCTGGAAGGCGACCGAACGGCTGAGGGTCGAGTCGGCGCTGCTGCCCTTTGTGACGTTCATGACCAGCGTCGGGACGAGGCGGAGCGCTGACTCGGGGTCACCGGCAACGTAGGTGGAGAAGAAGGAGGGCAGCTCGTCGATCAGAGTAGCCGTGGCAGAGTTGCGAATGACGTTGAGCACCTCGGGGAGGATGTTCTGCTCAACTGAGGTGCGGCTGGCAGGCTGGTCCTGGAGGACGAGAGCAACGACACGAAGCGCGGCCGGCGTGTCGATGAAGGGTTGAAGTTCGAGGATGATGCCATCGGCGACCTCGGCGGGAAGGGCGTTGCCAACACGCTTCAGAATGCGCTCGAGAGTCGTGAACTCGGCCGCCTTGGAAGCGGAGCGCTTGTTGCGGCGAATCGAGACGACAATCTCCTGCAGGACCTCGAGCAGCCAGGCATCAAAGACAGGGCCGCTGACGAGAGGGGATTCAGCAAGACGTCCGATGACGACCGTGGCGGTGGACGCGGTGCTCTCGTTCGAGAGACGAGTCTTGATGAGCTCCAGAGCAGACGAGAGCTCCTGGGACAGAGCGTCACCCTCGTGAACAAGAAGGTCACCCATAGTGATCAGGGCCCTCTCACGCACATCACCATCCACGGATGTCGCTCCCAGCACCTCGGCCGTCGCCTGGAACAGCTGGCGAACAGGTCCGTCATATCCCTGGCGCAGAGGCGAAGCCGATCCCGAACCAGCACGGAAGCCGGGGTGAACTGGCCGGAGAGACTGGGCGAGAGCCGAAGCCGTGGCGAACGCCTCAAAGTTTACACGCTGCAGCTTGTCCTTCATGCACCGCGTGATGGCAGTAGTCAGCTCGGAGAGGTGTTCGGCATAGCTGCGTGCAACGTGGTGATTGAAGAAAGCGGCAAGGAAAGTCAGAACGGCGATGGTGAGCGACGGCGTCGTGCTGTCCGACGAACGCAGGGCACCCTTCGCCGCCTGGCAGAGCGTGTCCGCCTCAGACTCCAGGCCGCCGTCGAGAGCCTCAACGATCCGCCGCAGCAGGACGAAGCTCTCCTGGCGCGTGGCGACCGTCTTGGCAGCGGTCTGCTTCAGAATCGCCTTCACGATTTGGGACCTCATCGTCAGGAGAGCAGCAGTGATGCTATCCGGGCTCGAGTCCTCGTCCATGCCCTCACTGCGCTTGCGCTTGTTGCGTCCCGAAGCAGCAAGGTCCGCCGACCGAGCGTTGGCGGTCTGCTGCAGCAGGGCGTTGAACGCGGCAATAACCTCGAGACGGACCGACTCCTCGCGCTCGGCAAACCGCGCAACCAGGATAGGGGCAGCAGTCTTGTAGAGGTCCTGAAGGAGGTCCAGGCGAGTGCTAATGATAGCTGTCAACAGCTTGGCGGCAGATCGTCGGGTCTTCCACGAGTCGTCATCGTCGTCCGAGTACTCGTGGTCAAACTCGTCGTCATCATCAAGGTCGTCCTCGTCGTCCATGTCCACATCATCCTCGTCAAAGTCCACGTAATTCTGGTGGTCAGTGGGTGAACATAAGTGAGGAAACCTACCGGGTCGTACTTCACAAGTTGCAGCGCACGCTCGACAATCTTGGGCACAGAAGGTGAAAGCTCAGATGGGCAGTGAAGAGCCAGCGTCTCCAGAGCCTGTGCGTCAGCGCGTTTCTAAGAAGTCGAGACCCACGGTCAGAGCGCCCTCGACAGCGTCAGCATCCTCCAGGTCGTCCGCCTGTTTCAGAATCACGTCGACAAGGTTGTCGTTGGCAATCAGTGCGCCCACATCACCTGCAGCTGAGGTCTTGGCAATACCCGCCACCGCTGCAACCCAAGCCTTCGCAGTGTCGCCGCCAGCACTGAAGCCCTGCGACATCTCAGACTTCAGACTCTGGAAGTGCTGAGGACAGATAGAAATGAACGACGCGAGAGCAGGAACGGCGCGCTTGCGGACGGACAGTGGCGCCGATGACATGACCTCGAGGAAGCAGCTCAGCGACAGGTCCTGGAGCTTGGCGTTGGAAGCAATAGCGTTTCCGAAGCGGGCGTAGATGTCCGCGAGGATTTGCAGCAGCTCTGAAGCCAGCTGACGGTTCGCTTGAGGCTGGGGTCAGCTTGGCGTTAATTCATCGTGAGCTCACAGAGTTAACATTCTGGCGAATCCGAGTTAAAATCATGGTCAGAATCTCAGGCGTGTTCGGAGCATCGACGGGCATCTCAGCGACGACATTCTTCAGAGCTGGCCATCAGCAGAGCGTGGGTTGCAAAACTCACCAAGGCAGCAGATGTCACGACTCTCCTCGTCGACCTTCAGTCCGGGGCTCCCAATGCCCTCAGTGACGTTGGCGACAATCTGGCGCAGGTAGTTTGGCCGGGCTTTCCGTGACATGCTTGCAAGACTGACGCGTCAGCTTTAAGGAAGAACAGCAGCTTACCAGGCAGCGGCGGCGTTTTTAACCTCAGCGTTCGAGTCCCCAAGCAGACCAAGAACCATCTCCGTCAGGATCTTCTCAGCAGTTTCATCAGTGTAGGAAGGGTCCTGGGTGCGGGAGGCGGTCTTGGCCACCGGTTTCTCGTTCAGGATGTGCTGGAGCTCTTTGTTCAGGTCCACAAGAGCCATGATTCTAACATCGTCAGTGAGCCCGCACCATAACCTGCAGCCCTACCGAAGGTCTGAATCGGCCGACTTGAACTGCAAGGGTTAGCCATTGTTTACGGAACGTCTGAGGGATGCAGTCTACTGACCTTGTCCGAGAGGGACGGGACCATGGCGGTCAACGCGCGTCTTCCCCCCGACATGCTGGTCGACTGTTCTGCGCTGTCTGAGGGTTGAGAGTGTAAGAGGAAGGGGAAGGAGGCGGGAGATCTGATGTGGTTGACTGTATCGGTCACTGACGCGCGTTGTGACGACGTCCGTGGCTGTGACCCAGAAGTGGAGGTCGGTTTCGGAATTTTATGGCGTGTCATAATTTTCGGCGGGTGATAACGCCATCTTGTGGTCGGGAGATCAGGCGACGGAAAAGTCAAGACTGGTCGCGAGCACACCTGCAACACTGCCTTACATCGTTATAGGCACTCTCTACACTCGCAGCACGCACTCTCCGAACGTCGACTACGTGCTCCGCTAGCACCGAGATCAAGCCGACGGCTGCTTTTCGCCCCGCTTCCCTTTTCATCGCCTGTTTCTCCGCCCTTCACCATACACCATGCCCGTCCGCCTCCGCCTCGCCCGTCACGGTCAGCGTCACACGCCCGTGTACCACCTCGTCGCGATCAACGCCACGAAGAGGAGAGACGCCAAGCCTATTGAGAAGCTCGGCGAGTACGACCCGCTCCCCCGCGTGCCCAAGGAGTACAAGCTGCCGACGTCGACGCAGGTGTTTGGAAAGCAGCCGATCCTGCCGAAGGAGAAGCGTATCGAGTGGGACGTCGAGAGGATAAACTACTGGCTCAGCGTCGGTGCTCAGCCCACCAAGTCTGTTGTCAGGCTGCTGGAGAGGGTGAGCTCTCGACGTGTTGACAGAACTGACAGTACAGGGAGGTATCCTTACGATTCCTCACAAGTGGCAGCACAACTGGTCTGAGATCACCACGGGCCAGAAGCTTCCCTCGCCTGAGGAGGCCCCTGATGCTCACCCGAAGGCTGCTGAGTCTGCCGAGCCGACACCAGAGGCTGCGCCCAAGCAGACCGCTCCCTAGACATAGCACCGAAAAGACATCCCGTCACACCTCTCACCCTCACACCCCGGCATTTTTAACTATCTAAACTGGCTTCTATACCACTGCATGCATTGTATCGCACGTCGAGGGTCTGATCCCCAAGGGTGTGCGTCCGACTGACCGAAGTTTTACTGTACACGCGCGTAGTTGAAGCCGTCGAGGAAGACGAGGCAGCTCTTGCCCTAGGCGAGGACAGGGGAGCCAGGTTGGGTGGTGATATGATTTCCGTGCCTGAATTGGTACGCAGGTTAACTTTTTCGAAAGCCACACCTGGCTCCCATCATAACATCCACCCACTTGGCTCGTTTCGCCCCTTCCATTCGCTCCGCCCGACACTCCAGCACCATGTCGAACGCCGAGGCGAGCTCGTCGAAGCACAAGGACCGCCGGTCCAAGAAGGACAAGAAGGAGAAGAAGGAGAAGCGCAAGCACAAGCACGCCGTCGAGGTTGCGCCTGTCACTGGCGGTGCCGAGGGACCGTTCGAGCACCGCGTGCAGCGGATGCGGCTCAGCGTGCCGCCCAAGTTCTCTGCTGACTGGATGGAGGGCGTGCGCGAGTCGCTTGACGGCATGCTCATGCGGTAAGTAGCCACAGCTGCTGATCTGGACATAGCTGACAGCCAGGTACGTGGGACAGATGGGCGGTGTCCTCCTTGCCCACTGGGACCACCAGTTCTGCGACGACAGCATCAAGCTCATCAACGAGTGCCCGTTCGGCGTGACTGAGGTCACGTTCCGGAGCATTGTGTGGGCTCCCCGCCTCGGCCTGGTGCTGCAGGGCACGCACTCGCTGTCCTCGCCGTCGCACCTCTCGCTTCTGTTCGGCAAGACGTTCAACGTCTCGATCCCCCTCCAGCACATCCCGCAGGACAAGTACGAGTTCGAGCACACCGGCGAGGCGGCCGAGAGCGACAGCGAGGACGAGGACGAGCCCCTCGGCGCCGTCGAGGAGGTCGGACGCTGGAAGGTCAAGAGCACCGGTCAGACGCTCGGCGCCTCGGGCGAGCGCGTCCCCTTCACTGTCATCGGGTAAGCTCACAACCTCTTGAAAGAGCTAACAGACAGTCTCCAGGTCACCAACAACATGCTCTCGATCACGGGCTCGCTCCTCGACGACCCGTCGAACCCGCCCGCGCTCCCCGCCGTTTCGCGCCGCACGCCCTCGCTCTCCCCCGAGCTCCCCGAGCCTCCCGCGAAGCGCCCGTATCGCCCCCGCGCCTCCGTGGGCAAGCCTGCTGCTGCTACGCCGTCAAAGTCGCAGCACACGACGTTCGACGAGGAGCCTGCTGCTGCCGCCGAATCCGCCGAGGCTGAGCCCGAGATCGACACATCCAAGATGAACCCCCGCGAGCTCAAGAAGTACCGCAAGGAGCAGGAGAAGGCGAAGCGCGACGCGCGCAAGGCGCGCAAGGAGGGTGCTGCGGCCGAAGCCGCCGAGGCCGAGACGGGCACCAAGAGGAAAGCGGACGAGGAGGACGGCGGCGAGCGCAAGAAGAGGAAGGAGGCGTAATCTCTTTTTCATCTTCTGTTGTTTTCTGATGTATCTTAGATGGGCTTGCGGGCTCTGCATTGCACTGACGTGTCCAAACAGGCTGACGTGACTTGTTAGACAGCTCTGCATGGCGCCGCATCGAGGTCTATAGCTTGGCATGTGGGCGTGCTCATGGTCTATCGAGTACGGTTCTACTTCTTCTTGTCTTTTCCAGACTTGGCGTCTCCGTTCGCCTTCCGTTCCCTCTCCTCCCGGTCGCGCTTCTCGCGACGCTCCCTCTCCTCACGCTCTGCCCTCTCCTCCAGACCCTCATGCACGCGCTCGCACTCGCGATCAGCCTCCTCGTGCGTGTCAAAGTGGCGCACATGCGGCGTCATGTTGTACTCGCGCGTGCCGCAGCGCTTGGCCTGCTCGGGCGTGTGCGTGATCCAAATGATAGCCTTGGGCCCGAGGGAGTGACGGGGATAATGCGCCTCGCCGTCGCCTCCGCGGACGTTTGGCGGCAGAAGCCCCACAAGCGTCTTCTCGACCTTGCGCATGGTCTCGGCATCGAGGGCGGATGTCGGTTCTGATCAGTCAGCGCGCCTTCCCTCCCCCTCCTTGGAAACTACGCACCGTCGAGTAGAATGATGTCGGCTCCTCCCAGTCCGATGCCGATGGCCAGCGCAATGCGCTGCGCCTCGCCGCCTGACAGCGTGCCCCAGTCCCGGTTCCAGAGGAACTTTTGGATCCCCCACTCCTCTGCAATGCCCATCGGGTCGAGGCTTGGCCTGTCGTTGCTGATCTCCTTGACGCGCTTCTTGCGCGACGCGTAGCCCTGGCACGTCTTCAGAAAGTCGAGCGGCGTCCCTGCCAGAATGGAAGCACGCTGCGGGATGTACTGCACCAGCGTACGGTAGTAGGGGTACCCATACTCGCTCGCTGTCTTGCCGTGCAGCGCGATGCGGCCCTTCTGGTACACGTTCAGCTCGGAGATGCACTTCAGCAGCGTCGTCTTGCTATGATTGTTAGCTGAAGCTCGGGGGGCCAATCGCGTAGGCTGGGAACGTAATCGCGAGGAATCCAGTGGATCCTTCGTGACCGATGGTGGGGCTCGCCGCTATCACGACAGGCACCAGACACCGAAGTTGTTCTTCGTGACGGCCAGACTGCCTCGAAGCAGATCTGTTGGTGTGCATCGATCAGAAGAAGACTCACCCGCATCCACTCTCTCCGCAGAGGATCAGCACCTCGCCATCGTGCAAGTCCAGGCTGATGTCCTTGATCGTCAGCGTCCTAGCTCCGATCGCGGGTCGGCCGAGGATGACTCACGTTTAGGATGGCCGTCCCTTTGCCATCGTCCCGGCGCAGCGTCAGATTCTTGACCTCGAGGAGGGTCATCGGGTCGATTGTGTCGCTTTTGAGGTAGAGAAAGGATGCAAGACTAAACAACAAGCGAACAACAAAGCGAGGAAGACGGTTGGAGACAGCACCCAGATTTCGGGCACGCACCCGGCGGAAACATGGTCCAGCCTATGACGACATGACCTGAAATAGCCATTACGCCGGGCTCGGAGGTGGGACAAAGCCACCACCGAGGTTTCGGCCAGACACATCAAACTGCAATTTGCTGCCTGCATACACCATGCTCATCGAACTACTGGATTAACTACAGATGATTTGCTTACTTGGAAGCAGAGGCGTCGGCGGAAGCGTCGGCGGCCTGCATGTTAGCTGACAAGCCGTAGCAAAGCTCTGTGACTTACCTTGGCGTCCGAGGCATCGGCCTCGTCTCCGTCCTTGGCGTCGGCGTCGTCGCCGGCACCAGCGCCAGCGGCGCCGGCCTGCTGCATCAGCGCCGAGAGGTCGGGCATGCCACCCGCACCGCCCGCGCCTCCAGCACCGCCCGCGCCGCCCATCTGCTCCATGAGCTTGGCAAAGTCGACGCCGCCGGCACCGGCACCACCGCCACCCATGCCGCCCATAAGGGAGGCCATGTCCATGCCAGGGGGCATGCCGCCGCCTCCGGCGCCGCCGACGAAGCCTCCGTCGTCGGCATCAATCTCGCCAGCGACCTCGTCCTGCTCGTCCTCGTCGGCCCAGCGGGTGAAGTCGGTCTTGATCCAGTTACGGTTGAGAGGCTCCTTGGTCAGGCGCGGCCAGTACTCCTTCTTGAGCTCCTTCTTGCGGATGATCAGCAGCAGGTCGCGGCCAGTGTACGGCATTTGCTTCGTCGCCTCGGGGTCGATCTCGTGGTAGAAGTTGAGCTTGCACGCCCACTGCTTCTCGGGAAGACCCTTGGCGGGGCTGAATGTAAGCTGACGCGACGGAGCCCCTAGCTTCAATGCACTTACTCTCCGGAAGTACCAGTGAAGGAGAGCGAGTCAGACTTCAGGTCAACCTTGTAGCCCGGGTTCAGGTCGTCGATGCGGAACGTGAGGTAGATGAAGTTCTGCCGTCAGTCACCCACCCTCGATCTCATAGCCAACAGCCACATTGGCGCTCAGACCATGTGCGACTCACCTTCTCGGGGTCCGTGTCCGACGAACGCTCAGCGTACATGACCTCGGGGTGAATGGGTTTACCGGCAGACATTTTGTGCGACGATTGACTCAGTTGTTTTGGAGATGATCAAGAAGCAAGTCTCCTTTCGGTCCTATACATAGCTGGCTGCAATGTCCACCTCGGTTTCGTACGGTGACGACACTGCGACGGAACCAAACGTCCATAGGATTATGCTGGAAGTATCATGATCCTCGAATGGAACGAGGTGCGGGGCCTGGGAGATCGCATTTTCCCACGGTGCTTGATTGAAGCACGTGGTGCAAACCTCCACAGAGTAGCGGAGATAAGTTACTCTCCGTTGAAAGATTGTTGGTGCTGGGAAGAATGCTCGCACCGCACACTGAGTGAGATCCTGTAGTCGCATCCCGGTTCCTGGCAGTTTAGACGAGCTCGCACACAGCTGTGTGTTGGTCGCTGCTGCTTGTCATGTTAGACGATGAGGTTGATGAGCGCTGTCCACTGCCCCCTGTGTGCAGCATCACGTTAGCCTTACTCTGTGCTTCGCTGCTGTCGTAAGCCAGCTGCGAATCCCAGTCCGAACTCGTTGCCTTGATTATTTTTGTGCATCACAGGTCTAAGCAATACACAAACGGTTTATTTTATCCCGAATGTTGTTGTTTTACAGTACAGATACAAGCCACCAGTCATCGCCGCTTCTTAGAGCTTGGCAATGATGGCGTCGGTGTACTGCTGAGTGGAAGCGTTACCGCCGAGGTCACGGGTGACGGTCTTGCCCTCAGCAATGGTCGAGAGAGCGGCAGTCTCGATCTTGTTGGCGTAGTCGTTGAGGCCCATGTGGCGGAGCATCATGAGCGAGGAGAGGAGGAGAGCGGTGGGGTTGGCGAGGCCCTTGCCGGCAATGTCGGGGGCGGAGCCGTGGACAGCCTCGAAGATGGAGGCGTCCTTGCCAATGTTTCCGGAGGGGGTGAGACCGAGACCACCGATGAGACCAGCGGAAAGGTCGGAGAGAATGTCACCGTAGAGGTTGGGCATGACCATGACCTCCTGCGAGAAGGGAGCGGGGTCCTGGGTGATGCGGAGACAGACACGGTCAAGGAGGTCCTCGTTGTACTGGACGTTGGGGTACTCCTTGGCGACGGCGCGGCACGCAGTGAGGAACATGCCGTCGGACATCTTCATGATGTTGGCCTTGTGGACGGCGAGAACCTTGTTACGGCCAGACTCCTGGGCGTAGTGGAAGGCGTAGCGGGCAACACGCTCGGAAGCCTCGTAGGTGATGAGCTTGATCGACTGAACGACACCGTCGACGATAACGTGCTCGATACCAGAGTACTCTCCCTCGGTGTTCTCACGGATCAGGACGGTGTTAACGTCGTCGTAGAGGGTCTTGTAGCCCTTGATGGAGACACAGGGACGGACGTTGGCGAAGAGGTGGAAAGCACGACGAAGGGTGAGGTTCATCGAGACGTGGCCCTTGCCGACTGAGAATGTTAGCTTGAATCAAGGGCTCCTCTGAAGCTAGGGAGGAAGTCATCGTGGTCATACTCACTAGGGGTAGCGAGGGGACCCTTGAGGGCGACGGTGTTCTTCTTGACGGAAGCGACGGCGTCAGCGGGAAGGGTGGTCTTGCCGTCCTTGAGGATGGGGGTAACGTCAACCTCCTCCCAAACGATGGGAGCCTGGCCGTCAGTTGATACTCGGCAGACATCAGCGGCTGAAACTTACGCCAGCAGCAGTGTAGATCTTCTTGACAGCCTCAGAGATCTCGGGGCCGATACCTGCCGGTCAGCATCAACAAAAATAAACAGAGCGCGCTCGCCCAGCCTCAAAGGGGTATCGAGCGGCCCCCCACGGCTCAAACGCACCGTCACCGGGGATCAGAGTAACGGTGTAGTTGCCCTGCACGTCAGTTCAAAGACCAGGCTCATCAACTCACGTTGGCGTCCTTCTTGCCAGCGTAGGCAGAGGTGACATCGGCGGTGGCAGCGTAGCCGCGCGAAGCCTGGCTCATTAGTGGCCGTTCAAATTTGACTGGTTCGCAATGTCGCTCACCTGGAAGGCGCGGAGGGTGGGGATGACGCTGCGGGTGGCACGGCGGGCGGCGAACATGGTGACGGAGGAGGAGGGGGGGAGGGGAAGTGGAGGGAGGTTGTTGTTGTAAAAGATGTGGTGAAGGAGGATGCAGATGCGAAAGGGGGACACGACGAAAGCTTTGCTTTGATCAGGATCAGCTGTCTCAGGACTGGGCAGGACTGGCAGCCAGGACGACGTCACACCCTGTGCGCGCATCCACATCTCCACCAAAACGGCCATGAAAACGCTTACGTAAAGCGTTGAAAACAGGCGGCGTTGTCGGCCGATGGGGATCGACGCGCCTTACACGTGACTATCCTGCTCCTGAACCCCGCAGGAGGACACCTTGCAGCGATAACCAGCGATATTTCCGATGCATGGACGTTGTTGCTGATGCGGCGATCAATTGGGTTGATAGATCACTTAGAATGCATGGAATGGCCTCTATAGCATAGAGAGTCGCTATACACATATCTCGGGCGTTCTGCGCAACTCTGGGGCCAGCATAATCGACGCGGCAGATGTCTTCGGCCCAGAAAGGGCGTTCTAGAGACGATCATATCCACATGCCTAGCAACATGAGGGGGTGAAGAGTTGAAGTAGGGACTTGTCGGTCTTCGCCGAGAAGTGCCGATGGATTGCGGCAACAGACGACTAGGCCAATGAATGCGCATCTAGCCAGCCAAGGTCGAAGATTCAAAACGAGGCGCACCTTGTCCTGCAGCGAACGTTAGTCTAGTAGGGTTTCCACTGCCGCCGGTAACCTCCCTCTTGCTCTTGTCTCACTGCGACTTGCACTTTTTGCGATCTGGTCGGCAACTTGGACCTCCTGGCTGATTCGGCTCTCTTGACGCTAACACTACACTTACTCAGCTAACTTGCATGTCTCTACGCCCAACCCACTGTCAGAGCCAGTATCCCATCGGCATCCACAGCAATTGCCACATGAGCCAAGCAACTCACCGGACGCATGCTGGATATCACCGCCAGCGTACGCCTGCCCAAGCCAGCTTGAACCAGCCTTCACAAAGGAGTTTCTCATCTCATGGTCGAGATGGGCGGAGGCATTCCCACGTGGGATTTATCAGCCGATTTGATGCCGCGATACCGATTAAATCTTCTGGTCACAGAATTTTGGATAGCGAGGGGGTCAGGCCCATAAACAAGGCTGCTGGTGCGATCCCTCTTGTCCATCACCCCATACCCCCCTCCATCCACAAAAACAACCATGGGTTCCAAGAGCGCCGCTAAGGTTGACAAGAAGTCCAAGAAGGACGAGAAGGCCGTTGCCGCCGCCGCCAAGGTGCGTTGTCGCTGGTTGCCGATCGTCTCTCATCGCCGTCACCGGTGACGTGAGAGGTCGCACGAGCATGCGAAATTTGATCGATCAGTTCGCTGACGCTTCCAACAGGCCGCCAAGGTCGAGAAGAAGTCCAAGAAGTCGAAGAAGGAGCCTACCCCCGAGAGCAGCTCGTCTGAGTCCGAGTCTGACTCTGACTCCGACTCGTCTTCGGACTCGTCCTCTGACGAGGAGGAGGAGAAGAAGCCCGCCGCTAAGGGCAAGGCCGCCGCCAAGAAGGAGGAGTCGTCTGACTCTTCTGACTCTGACTCCTCGGACTCTGACTCGTCTGACTCTGAGGACGAGAAGCCGCCCCCAAGGCTGCCGCCAAGAAGGAGGAGTCTTCTGACTCGTCCGACTCTGACTCTTCGGACTCTGACTCTGACGACGAGGAGGAGAAGAAGACCGAGAAGAAGGAGGAGAAGAAGGAGGAGACCTCTTCGTCTTCCGACTCTGACTCCTCGTCTGACTCTGACTCTTCTGACGAGGAGGAGGAGGCCAAGCCCGCTTCCAACAAGCGCAAGGCTGAGGAGGAGCCCGAGGCTGCCGCCGCCCCCGCCCCCGTCAAGAAGGTCAAGACTTCTGAGGGTGAGCAGGAGGCTACCAACACCGTCTTCGTCGGTGGTCTTTCGTGGAACATTGACAACGACTGGCTCGCTTCCGAGTTCGCCTCGTGCGGTGAGGTCGTCTCTGCCCGCATCGTTCTCGACCGCGACACCCAGCGCTCGCGTGGCTTCGGTTACGTCGAGTTCGCCGACGTTGACTCTGCCATCAAGGCCATCGAGTTTGAGGGCAAGGAGCTCGACGGCCGTGCCGTCCGCGTCAACTTTGCCAACGCCCGCAAGCCCGACGCCGACAAGCGCGCCAAGGTCTTCAACGACAAGCGCTCGCCCCCCGCCGACACCCTCTGGATCGGCTCGCTCCCCTTCGACACCACCGAGGACCACATCTACGAGACCTTCGGCGAGTACGGTGACGTCCAGTCCGTCCGTCTCCCCACCGACCGGGAAACCGGCGCCGCCAAGGGCTTCGGTTACGTCACCTTCGGCGACGTTGCCCAGGCCACTGCTGCCCTCGAGGCCCTTAACGGCTCCGAGTTCGGCTCGCGCCGCATCCGCATCGACTTCGCTCCCCCCAAGC